ATTAAGGCCACTTTTTTCTCAAATATTGCCTATATTAGGTTTCTTAAAAAAATAGCCTGACCGGGACCTTTAAGTTAACAACGTCATAAGTTTTCGTTCACAATAGATAAATTATGTATACACACGACCTACATTACCTACACGACCCAATACAATTTATTAAAAATATAACATGTTTTTAAAATTGAAATAATGTCAGTTTATTCTCAGTTACATTTGCATGTCACAATTTTGTTTAATTTATACTAAAACAACGGTTTGTGTATGGCTATAAATACTTAATGACCCGCTAGTCAATAATAATTTTTTCTCGGAAACAACAGTCGAGAACTAGTCTGAATGTATATTTTATAACGTTAAATTCTCATACGAGTACAAAAGGTGAGTGACCACAAAGTTTTTACCATTATAATGTAACTATTATCACAACCGTTATCTAAATGCATGTTATTGTTCATAACTACACAGCATACGAACAAGTTTACCGTTGTTTACAACTTGACTGGTTAGCTTAGTAAATTTTATATTTTTATTTCAAGGTAGCGTTATTTCAAGTTTTTTTTCCACTTTCCACATCTCATGGTCCCAGTTCAATCCTGTTTAAAATATTTTCGAAAAACTGGAACGCATATTCAATTATCTCTTTACCAATATAATATAATAATATAATATTATTTATTACATCATAATACTTCAAACATAATCTGTATTTTTTTTTTTTTGTAATTACATAGTATATACCTTGTATACTTTTTGTAAATAACGAATTAGATGTAGGTAAAGCTGCTATAACGACCGTCGACCTCTCTATGTACAGATATTTGTTTTAACAAAACAGTTAAGCATTGTAGCCAGTTTGAGTATAATAATATATTATATAGCTTTGAATTATACGCCGCCCTATCGTTTAATACAAAATAAACAGTTAACTATTGGACAGGCACTATTCTAAAATACCCTTATAATCAACTTAAATATGAACAATAAGGAATTTTCTTTGCAATGTAGTGGTGTTTAAAATGTCATCTGTATAAATTTCTGTCACATAATTTTGTTGATTTACTGAAAAAAGTGTTTGTGTTTCCTTAATTAAGGAGGTACACGTTGACGGTATGTTAGACCTATACGCCATCAAAATAAACACGGGTCGTGTGTTTTAGACTACCTGCTAACGAAAAATAATACCTACCCAGAGTAGGGTACCCTTAGGGTTTCAAAGGAATTGCCAATTAGGATTTCTTGTCGCTCCCGCACTATAATAGTATAATGTCATAAGCATTGAGGACCGGCCGCCCATGTAAAAATATAATAATACTATTAATAATGAGTTAAGTCTTAAAATCGGCAATAAATCGGTGGCGAAGGAGAAGATAATTTATTATATTATAATGTAATGTATTTGACGTGTAACCAGCAACCCGGTCAACGACGAACGAGCTGCGGTTCCGTTATAATATAGTACAATGTCCTCTTGGCGTGTATTCGAGATGTGTTATTGTATATTTTACTGGAATAGCAGCTACACCGACGGATTTTTAATAATTTTTATGCATTTCGGTTGTCCGTCAGAAGATTGGTCATCGCCGACCCTTCGGCCCTGACAATAGTCACTGTTGATAAAACGTTAGTGGAAATGAAAAAAATTGAAGTAAATGGTATTTGTTTGGCGGCATTTCGGACACTATATTATTATGTTTTGTTAGTGAATAGAGGCGCTCGTGTGTCCCTTTTGTGATATCGTCGGGAAAATAAGAGAAATATGAACAGATTATCGATGGACGTGTAGCTAGCTGCTGTCCGCGCCCAGGTGAGAATTATATTTTGTCTTCTTGTGTCCGAAAGTTCTGCGATTTGCAACACACGCTAAGAGGAGTCGTGCTGAGAGCGCGGCTGCAGTTTTTTCTCTCCATAATATATGTATTTGTTATAATACAGTGGCCGGCCAGTATGTGTGTTTTGGAAATATAGCGACCACCGCACCGGCGGTAGCCATCTGCGTGCCAGAGGGTGGTCCGAGAAAGGCTTGACCGGTCAATTGACTGACTAATGACCGCGCAGTGTCAAGTCTCAGGTGCAAACAGCAGATGCCCCAGAGGATCTCCGCCGAAGGGGTCAATCTGTTTGCTCTTAACCGCATCAAAAACTCAAAGGTTCGACAACATTCTAGCTGCCCGAACAATCACGCCGAATACTATAAATAGGTAACAGTAGGTAGTATTGTTTTTCGTTCAATATATTATTGACAATAGCTGGTACGGTTTTTTAAACACAAGGAAACGGTGAAGTCAAAAGAACAGATTTTGATTCGATAATACGGTTTTGAATATTATACGGGTTAAAGACACAATAAAAGTAATCAAAAAAAAATAATTTAAAATATACTAACCACTTTTATGTTTGAATAAATTGTATATAGTGACGTATGTGTCTCAGGGGAGCAGGAGATCGTAAAAAAAAAAAAATAATAGCTTTTATAAATTACACATTTTTTGTATTTGTTTTAATACTCTAAGTCTAAACTATCAAATACGAGTTTATTTTATTTTAATTGAACAATGCTTAGATTAGATGATAATTCTTGTCATCTGACCGATAAAGGCTGGCACATCGCCCAATTTTCTAATATACTTACTCTCAGTTTTATTTTTCTTCAGGTGAACATGTCTGCTGTTCACTGTTGCCCAAAAAGTTCAGAAGGATATGTCCGGGGGTCAATGGGAAAAAATACAGGGATTTATAAATAATTACTAATGAGAGGCTTTTTGCTACCTCTACCAGTAATTTTCTCCCTCAGGCCTCATTCAGTTATCAGACATTCTTATTCTGGCTCTTTAATTTTTTTGTCAATAAAAGAAAACATAAAATCTTATAAGTTATAAATTAAAATATATTATTTACCAGTGATTAGTGATTCAACTCTTCTCTAACGAACTGCTATCGCGCCTACCCGTGTCTTCTTCTTCTTGGTTCTACAAAATAGATTTTTCTAAACTATACATAATATTTCTCAAGGTTGAAGTTTGTCAACAACCTTCTTTATATAATAAACCAAAATAATGGATGAACAAATCACGATTCTTTAATTCCTGTCAGCCCAACATATAACATATTAGATAGGTAGTCATAATATTGTTCTCGCCTTTCTTATAAAAACGTTATTTTTAGTCTTAATTTTACATAATAACGTGGTCATCTTTTTTCTTATATAATCTTTTAATCTAAAAATTCGCCTATCATTTTAGAAATTTTTTCATGTTTCTTAAAATCTGATTTCTCAATTTAATTATTGTCAATATCTTACCTTACTTTAATCTTCTTCCGCGCTCTATTCATGATATCATATTATGTGCTTATACTTGCTCGTATTTTATTGGTGTATAATGCCAACAGCCATGTCATTTTTTTAAGATAATTTCCTTCCTAAGATGGGACAGCAATGACCCTACGTGAGTCGTGACTATGGTCAAAGTGTAATTTCCCCCCTTTTTTTTTGTTTTACTATAAAAAAAAATGTTGGCTACAAATGTTTGAGAAAACTGCAAATCTTTTATTCTATAGCCCCATTCTAGATCTACTTTGGGTTCAAGTGCAGACCCAGAGAGAAGTGTTAGAGTGCTAAGCACCCCCTTGGCATGTTACCACCTGGTAAAAGACAAATTATAAACACATGTCTAAAAACATCCCAGACAATTATAGATAGGTAACTGAATTATTTTTCAGTAGGCCGGTTCTAATCAATATTGATCAATTTCATATGTTGTTGGTCATTCAATGACAGTATTTTCAACTCTACTTTTGTACAATACATCACGGGTTTCAGTTATGAATATTGTGTCACACCGTTTATAGGTATATTTATCACATAAATATATATTATTTTTAATTCGCGGTTAACAATGTATATGTATTATGTATTTGTAAATAATACAATCATACATTACAATGGAACAAAATAAAATGAAAAATATTATATTTTTTTATTTCCAAAAATACAAAGACATAACGATAGTTATTAGTTCATTTTTAAGTGAATACATATAATAAATTGTATAATATACAATTTTTAAATATGTATTCACTTAAAAAATGTGTATATTATACAGTATAAAGTATATTATACTTTTATAAAACAATTTGTTTTATATTAATCTACATTAGTCATTAACAGTTATGAAAATTGTCAAGCAAATGTTGAACCATTAAAAAACAATTTTTTAGCTGTTTTACTAAAATTACCATTCATGGTTATCGTTTTGAATTTTAAGCGCATTATTTTTTGAGGAATTAAAAAAAAGACCATGCGATCATGCCTGATAGAGCCTACAAGACCTTAATCTTAGCATCCCCCTTAAAAAAATCCTAGATCCGCCATTGCTTCAATCTAATTTTCAGACCTTTAATCTTAATAATTTTACCTAAAAACGCGATTTAAAGAAAGTTTCCACCTCTTCTAGGGGAAAGGGTGTATAATATTTGTTTGTTTTGTAAACATGGTAGTCCTATACTACTAATACTAATATCGATACTACGAAAGAACTTCATACAAATTTTGAACTAATTCCACTATTTTTCAAAAAAGTTATAGAGCGCTGTAATGATTTTGAAAATTAAGACCTTTCAGGTACCATTTGTGATCTATAGAGTTTTAAAAGATATCGCAGGTCCAAACACACAAAAAAACACATTGTAAGCCTAGGAGTATTGATCTATAAGCCTAATGCCCAAAGGAACTCAATAACTAATCAGAAAATTGAATAATAATGATACGTAAGAATAGCACATGTTATAACAGTATGTAACAGTAGTCAATCACAAAAAAAAAAAAAAATTAATTTTAGTAGTCAATTTTTTAGTTTATCTTTTATGGTTGAACTATACTAAATGTATTATTATGATTTCTGTTAAAATTATCTTATGTTTAAGAATAAATACAAATTATTTACATTCACAATTACAATAGTATTTATTTATTAGAACAGTTTCACACATTGGCTACTATTTATTAAACTTAGTACTATGTAGTATGCAAGTATATAATATATATTTAGCTATTTGCTATAAAAAGAACAATAGTATATTAATTTTGCCTTTAAATATACAATCCCATATTTTTTGTATGTATATTAATAAAACACATAAATACTTAATGTTTAGAATTCATATCATGTGTAAGACACTAATATTTAATTCAATTAATAAATAAGTTAATAATAAAAAGAAACAATAGTAAATAATACATTAAGGTTATTATGCACTGGGCATAACCTTTAGGCGATCAAACGACGCTTTTTCCAACCACTCCCTGTGGTCTGGATGGGCGACATTAATTAGTGCATGTGCTCGTTGTCTTAAGCTTTTTCCAAACAAAGACGCAACACCAAATTCAGTCACAACATAATGAGCATGAGCACTGGTGGTAACAACTGTAGCTCCTGAGAAAGAATTAAACATATTAACATTAAGATTATGCTGGTCAATTTGGATGTATTTACATTTTTTTTAAACTTTATTTAAAAGCGATTGACTTCAGTTAAAAAAATACTTTTTTTATTTAACCAATAATGTTGATTGTTCAGTATGGAATATATCGAAAATTTAACACAAATATCACATTATAACAAGTATATATACTTGTTATATTGTTGTTGGCAATCAAATGAAGCAAGTTGATTTTTTTCATTAATATACATGTATTTTGAGTGATGTAAGAACTAATTGGTAATAAGTCGGTAAGCAGCAATGGATACCATAACTTAAACGTACATTAAACGTATACAATAATAATCCAAAAATTTGACTTAACTACTACAAGAACCTCTTTTAAAAATGTACTTATCTTTATAAAATATATAATGATTATGTAAATATTACCTTCTTTAATTATTGGTACTATTTTGCTGGTAGGTACACCCCGTTCATCTTTAGTTTTGGGGTTAACAGAGCCTAGAGCAATAATTGGTTTGCCTTTGCCATCAAAGCCTTCAGCAGCTCCTCTAATGAAATCTACTTGTCCTCCATAACCTAAAACATAATTTTGAATCATTATTTCATTAACATTTCACTATATCAATAAAATTAAAAATACCTGAATACATTCTGTAACCAATAGATCCAGAAACAATTTGGCCAGTTAAATCAACTTCAATACACGAATTGATTGCAGTCATTTTTGGCTGTTGAGATATTATGTGCACATTGTTGGTATATGATACTTGTCTCATACCTACAATGTGTAATAACAAAATTATATTGTTGTTATATAATAAACATAATATACATTTTATTCATAGGCGTCAGCAGTCATTTTATGCAGAGTTTAAAACTCAAATTTGGAACCTACCCCTCCTTAATGGTAACCAGCATTTCTAACTTAATAAGAGACAATCTTTCCTAGAAACAACAAAAACCTAAAACCTCAAATTTTAAAATATTTTTACAAATATATAACCTAATTTTTTTTATTTTAGATTTTCTATCAGCCATATTATATTATAAGACCAATTGGATCACGGGTAAAACATTTATAATAGTATAATGCCATAATGGTATCTATATCACAAAAATTTAAAACAAATATATTATGGCACCATTGTAAAATCAGTTTAAATCTTGTAAAAAAAAAAGAGAAATATTAAAAAAAGAAATTAAACAAAAGTATATAAGAACACTTTACATTTTAAATGTAAAAAAAAAAGCAGTCAACTCTAATAACACAAAGGTAAAAAGGGTATGTGTTTGGTATAAGATACTTTATTTTATATTTTGTTTTTTAGAACAACTAAAATAAAATATGCAAGTACTATGTTAAGAAGGCGAAAAGTACACACTTAACTCACAGAGAGCAGGGTGTGTAGCTGCGCAACCTGTATTTCTATGATTATATTTATTAACACTGATTTAAAATGGTCACTTTTTATGTATGCACTATATATTATGTATCTTATACGGGCTGTACATGTGATTACAAATTTTTTAAATTACTTTTTTTAAGTAGAATTCTACTAGGTAAAATATTAATTACTATTTACGTTTTGATATTATTTCCAATTCATTGTTTTTACATAGTTAGTATTCATACTAACAAGTTTAATACAATTAGTCTAGTGTACTATGTTTGACCATGTTTATAACATAATATTGATTTTAGAAAGCACGTCTCCTAGTAAAGATCTACGAAGAAAATAATTTTTAAAAATCTTACAAATTAATGGATTGTTATCGACAAAATCATACAACTTCTGGTTTCCCATCAGAAAACTAGTAACAATTAGTCCACGGTCCAATTTTTTATTATGATTTGTTATGACTCCGGATCTGACTAAGTCTATAACTCCAATACTGAACATCTCAGAATGAATTCCCAAGTCTTTATGGTCTTTCAGACAGCTCAATGTGGCATCAGGTATAGCACCTATGCCCATTTGTAATGTAGCTCCGTCTTCTACTAGATTATCAGCTATATGCTTGCCGATAGCAGATTCAGTAGCCGTTGGTGCTTTATCACCATGAACTGGTAATTCGCGATCATGCTTGACCGCAAAATCAATGTGTGACTGATGAATAATAGCTTCACCAAAAGTACGCGGCATATGCTTGTTGACTTGGGCTAGAAAATCAAAAAAATTGTTAAAAATTATCTTTAAACAATTTATAACTATGATGATCATAAATTTTTATTTTTTACCAATGATCACTTTCGAATGACTTAATGCTGATCTTATACAATCAACACTTGTACCAAGACTACAAAAACCATGATGATCTGGAGGCGACACCTAAAAATATACAAATATTATAGTCATTAGAGTTATTAGAACAGACTTATTCTATTTAGTTCTGTGACATAAATATTTAATAATAATAATAATAACAGTGATTCTAAATTTGTTTTAATCACCACAAAGAACTTGAGACCTAGAACCCTATGAGACTTTAAAGTAATAATTATAATACATATTTAATATGTTCTTTTATTATGTTGTAAATAGATACAGTTTCTATTTATTTAAATAAAAATTATTTGTTTACTATTTTTAACAGTGATGAATAGTTTTTAGATTATATTATATATTAAGAGTCCATAGTTCAACCTTTCATCACAAATCAACTTAAATACGATTACAAGAAACACCTACTTTGTAGACTGGATATCTGACATAAATCATTAATATTAATATATAGATTATAAGTATATGTATTAAGTATAAGTTGATAAGTTGTGTTTAAATACAATCTATAATTGCTCAAAATCATTGTTTAAAATAATAAATTTTAACTTTTCAAGAAGCTAACACATCAAGGTCGGAAAATAGTGTGATCAGTATAGATTTAAAAAAATTATTATTATAGCTGAAAGTATTAAAATAACTTTCAAATAAATGTTTTGTTGCAAAATTGTAGATGCTAAAAACTATACAAAATTAAACAAAAAACATTTTTTAGAAAATGTGTTAATAATCGAGTTATTTGATTTTTGTTTTTTTTTTTAAATAAACAATTAATTACTAAAAATGTTAAAAAATTGATTGAAAAATGTGTTGTTTTGTAAAACAACAAAATTACAAGTTATTTGCAATAAATAAAATAAATTTATCACTCTGTAAACATGTTTATTATATAAACATTAAATATCACAATAAGTAAACAACAAAATATTTGTATATGCTATATGGCCACACTATTAGCCACTATAAAATATAATATCACTATCTGTTTATACACACACACACAGTATTGTTTTAATCATTTATTATTTATTAAATAATTATTTTATTAAAAGATCTAAGTCCTAAAATTACACCTATAACAGCAAAATGTATAGCTTGCTGTAATTTTAAGTAAAAAAAGTATTTATATTTTTAGGGTTTTTTTTTTTAAATTTAAAACAGAAGGTGAAAGCTCTCTTCATTTTTGGCCTTATTTGGCACTTTTTGGAAACAATTTTTAATCTACTTGATCTATATAAAGAAATTAGTTCAGTGGGTATCAGTTTAGACACAAAAATAGATTAAAAAAAATGTATACAAATAAAATCACATCATTGTAAAGCCAATATCTTCTTAGCTCCGCACTGAAGCTAAATACATAAAAAAGATTTTACTTAAAATATTAAAAATTCAACTAAAAATTAATGTATTTCTAGATGTTATCACTTTGTGTAAAATCAAACAAAAAGTATATTGAGAATAAAAAAGAATTAGTTAATTTATATGAACTTACAGTAATTATTGATACATCAACTGGTATGAGTTTACGTTCAAATAAATATGGTATATCATGCAGAAACAGTGGTATAGCATCTCCTCTGCCCTCATTAATGCACTTCCTCAGATTAGCACTTATAAAAAATGCTGTTGGTCTAAAAATGTCTTTAAAAATGTTCGAAATTCTATTTAAATACATTTTAATTTGAATTGGTAGTAATAACAATTAATAAATATCATTACCATAATAATTTTAAAATATAAAATATATTTAAATCAAACCTGCACACTCAGGTTCCGAATAAGGAGATTCAAATTCAGTGTGCATGCTACATACACGCACATTTTTCAGTTGCTTTTGTTTGCCATGATCAGTCATGCTACGCAGCACTTCAATAGGTGTACTAGCAGCACCGCCAACAAAAACAGTATCACCTATAAATTTATTAACAGTTATTTAGTAACAAAATAGATACCAAAATAAACTAGAAAATTAAAAATTAAAAATATAACTTGTTAATTATATTTGATATTATATATAACTACAAATAAATATTTTAGTGGTATTATAATATAATATGTGTTATTACCTAATACAATCAAACTAATCAATTAATTTTTAAAAATTAAATAGAGGATTTATTTTAAAGATGCGTAGTATACAACAGTAATAAAGTAAAGAAGAACTTACCGCACTATTCAAGTTTATATTGAAAATATTAATTTTTAACCTAACATACCATTCATAATTAACTATAATTTTTAAGTTGATTTTAAAATATAATGCAAAGATAAATGATGCGGAATAATATGCAAGTGATCCGATTATTTTGTACCCTTTATTAAAAACCCTTCATGAAATCAGTCGTCAATTTCGGACGTGGAGCTAACTATTATTGCTAACTTCTACTATATAAAATTAACCCTAACACTAAAAAAACGAAAATATTTTTTTTTTAGTGAAATGTATTATTTTGTGGTAGAACAAGAGGGCATGTTGATAAATAGGAGCATAAAAAGACTGTGAAGCAAAGGGTTGAGCTAGCATATAAACTATTTTCTTTGTCAACAAAATCAAATAACTTAGGCACTGAATTTTTTTCAAGCGGGATTTTGTCAAATTAATGAAGTCTGTATTTTCAAAATAATACTGACATAATTGCTTTGTTTATAATTTAAAAATATTTATAACCCAACCAATAAACCTATACCTAAATGTTTAAATTTGTTATTTATTTATAATTTTGATTTATTTAACTTATTTTTAATTATGTTTAGTTTAGAAATGTATACATTTTTACTATACTCATTACATGTGCTCTTTCCTTAATTATAAAAACTACAAATATTACCTCTCCCTGGGTTATATATCTATGTACCCTACCACCACTATACTCATGATTGAAATATTCAAGGTTGTTGCACATATACCCCTACTTCATCACATTTTGAATAACAAAAACATATGTCAGCGCAATAGACAGCCTATCAAAATCAAGTATAAAAGTATAAGGTAAAATATATAGTAATAATAAAGTATATAGTATAATTGATAGAAGATACTAATTTTAATAATACTACTTTATTATAAAGGGGGACTGAGTACTATTTTTATAGAAATTGTAACTAACTTTTAATAAAAAATATTCTGGGTACATGTTTTTTTTAAAGTAAAAACGTCCCCTTACTTTGATTTTTCCAATTCGAGTACTGTTAATTTCTCCAACAAATAATGTCTTTTGATTCCTTAGTTCTTTTTAAAGTTATATAATTATGTTCCTATTATTATTATGCTGTATGGTAATTAGCATCTTTGTATGAACTTGAAATATTATTCTAAATAAGTAGTTTTATTGTTTGCACCACTGGTTCCCTGCTAAAATATTAAAGGCCCTAACACTACTCAAAGATTGTCACTGTAAGTGTCTAATACACTTTTATGATATGTACGAGGAACTGAAAGGTCATCACTTATCACTAAATTATAATTGCATAAGCTATAAAAAATAAACAAAAGCTAAAAGGGTAAAACAATTTTATACTAGTAGATAGATTGCTTTAATACATTATGCTCTACAAAAAAAAAAAATGTTGAAAACCATATGCGTGTTAGGTCATAAATATTAGCATAATTTATGACTAATTAGTATTCAGTTTTCAATTATTACTAACACAAAATATTTAACTGGAGAATATTTAGATGTTATAAATGTAATCAATCAAATTTGTTCAATAAGACAGTAAGAGATACGACAACATTGAATATTTAAAATAATTTATTATTATGAATCATAATATTAAAAAGTTATTTAAGTACATATTTATCAAATGTGTTTTTATTTATAAATTAAATTGTATTGATAATTTTATGTTATTTAACATGTTATTATTATTATAGTTATGTAAGTGATCATAAGCATTAAAAGATGTCATAATAAATGCTTTATTTGTATCGCTAACTGTAGAAAGTAGACAAGTACAATTTTCTAATTGTTCATGAGAGGCAAAAAAACTAAATATAAAAATGACCACTTTCTGTTGTGAACTCTAAATTCCTAATAAATTACCTCTGAAATATGTTTGTATTATTACTATAAACATAGTCCGTGCAGGCCATAACTAGGTCATTTGGAAGAAAATCACTATCTTAAAAAACTTATAACTTATACAAATGCATAGTGCAAAAAAAGACCACTAAGGGCTGGCAATATGGGACATCAGCAGTAATTGTCATAATGTTTAGTGCACGCACACTCATTATCAGTATTAAACACGATCTTTAAATGTCTGGACCTTCCAAACCAAATGGTTAATAAAAAAAAAAAGGTGTGGTAATAAAGTATATTTATAGTATACTGGTATTTTAATTAAGGGTAGCTGTAGTTCTAGCATTTATTATTTTTTGCTTGGATACTGTAAAATAAATGTAATTTAAAACTTTAAGACCACTTCTGTCAGTGGTACACACGAGGTGGTATCAGTGGGAACAAGGCTTATATTGCTGGTGCCACTTATATAAATATATCTATATATTTCACACCATAATGAAACATTTTGTAAATTGCAGCTTGTATTAAAATGTCATTACAGCAAAACTATGTTATCTTTGTGCGTTACACATAGTTTGTAGAATATATGAAAATCCTTGAACTATAGTTTAGTTAAAGAGGAATAATTTATGTAATTACCTTGGGAATAATATTATTTCATTTTTAAAGTAGTCATGATATTAAACATTAAAATTTTAACTTCTGTTTTATATTCAACTTTGAATAATATCCATCTTTTATTTATACAAAATACTGAGGTGTAGCTTAGCAGTGGGTCTTTTTTTATGTTATCTAATGAGCCGATAATTTGGATCTATTGCTACCACTTCCAAAGAGAAAATTTATAAATAACATAAATGTAATTATTTTTTAAGAATCTTTCCATCTGGATATTCTACTGATACAATATCTTAGTAATATACATTAAGATACAAGAACTCACCAGATTTAATGCATTGAACAGCTTCATCAGCCGATACCCATTTTGGTTCACGATCTAGAATTTGAGATACTTGAGGTGTATATGTGAAATAAGATTTTGAATTAGTTCCATTGCGAACAATTGTACTCCATATTTTCTTTGAGCCTTGATTTCCAACAGTAAATCGAAAGCCAATTCTGTTTATAGCTGATGCCATAATTTTTAACTAAACTTAATAAAATACAATAATGTTTACACTAATTAAATAATTTGTTAATATAATTAAAAAGTTAAACCATATTTAAAGATAATTTATAAGCAACTTACAAATAATAATTATTCAAGAAAAAAATTAATTCGTAAATAGTTTTTCGTAGGTTCAAAAAGTAGAGACCAGTAGACTAATATGTGTTAATGTAAGCTAAATAACAAGTTAGTCAGTTAATAGGTATGCTGGCACTGCATTTGTTACGATTAGTGTAACTATTTAAGTAGCCGATAAAATTGTATTGTTGGGTAAGTCCAGTGACGTCAAGAAATTAATCTATTCAACTGAATTAGGTGAACTCTTCCTTCCTGGCAACCGAATTGGTACCGATGAGACAGGACAGTGCCAAGTCCCAAGAGAATGAGATATTAATCATTAATGTAAACACTTATGTTATTTTATCAGTCAACCCATACGAACAATATTACTATTGTAGTTTTCCGCGCCATCTAGTGATCTATCAATTAAAAAACTGTTCAATAATCTCAAGAAATATGTATAATTTAATACTTAATTACATAAATCTGTGAATACTGAATAATCCACAACTCGAATCATTTATTAAATGCTTGTATACTAAACAAATTAAATACTATTATTAGTAATTAGTAAATTGATTAAATATACATTTAATCAATGCTCGAATTCACGAATTAAATGTTCAACACAGAATTTATTTAAATCACAGCCATATCATTGGGTAAATAAAATTTGATTCTAATAAATTAATGACCATATTAATTTTAAGCAAAACAGGTATTAGCTGACAGCTTAGAAAAGATGAATATTAAATAATAATAATATTGGCTGACACGTCCTGACAGTATTATTATTTGTTTATTATGTTATAATATCCATGATTAAAATATACAAGATTATTGAATATATACACCCCTTTTTCATCTAATATTCGATGATAAAAACGAATATGTCACCGTAACGGGCAGCCAGTCAAACAAGTATTTACGTACACGGTAAAATAATTATTTTGTAGTAATAGAAAAATGTATAAATAGTTATATATATATATATAGTTACAGTAAAATCGATATGCCGTAATTTTATTTCTGAGAGCATCGAGATAATAAATATACTTTTTATCTTGATGCATAAAAGATAACACCACTCTAACCAAAATCCATAATATAATATTTAGAATAACATAGGTAAGTCAGTAATTTGTGATAACTCCAAAATGACTATCGATGTTATTGAGTCGCCATATTGTGAATACTGTTAATACGTATTCCTGACATACCACTCCTTCATACTTGTTTATTTTGCCATCCACGGACACACATTATGTTCGCACGCGGCATGCATCTTCATTCTTCCTCAACAATCTATATTCTTAACTAAGGTGACAGCCGACAGGTGCATGAAATATGATATTCTTATTTCTATTTTCTTAAGATATATTATATCTTAATTCGTGCTCAGCTATCAAAATAATACAATTTAATGTATAATATTTCATGTAACTACTAAATAGTGCAAGTTTTCTATGGTTTACATGTGTTCGCATGGTTTTATGAAATTTATAACAGGAGTCAGGAAGTTATAAGAATAATAATCTAGCCAAGAAAAAAAATATTGTTTCTTTACAAAGGATTAACTAGGATAATTCGTATTATAAATATTGAACAATGGTAAGCTTACACATTTTTATACTTGTATACTAATTAGTAATTATTATTAAAACACTAATGAGTAATAAATGTTTCCTGTTCAGTACATCTTGAGTCCGTTCCCTCATTACGTTTTCACGTAAAAGTGGTAGGCGAACGGGCTCAAAATGATTTGTACGGGTTTTTATAAATTTTAACTTTATATTTAATAAGTATATTATTCTGATATTAATACTAAAAATGAAAGGAACAAATGTACTCTACCGGGCCTTTTTTGCCGATTTACAGTGTTTTTTACGCTGATTTCGAATTAGAAATCCGCAGATTCTTCTAGTTCAAAAGTTACAGTTGCGCAAGGTGCGGGGGACAGCACCTGTTGATGCCATTATGCATCGTGCTATTATCTATACAGAGTATTTTTTGGCATTCGCTTCCTCGGCTTCGCTCTGCTAAACTAAAAATATCCTAGGTTTGTAGGCTACAGTCTAGTAGGAGGTCACAGGATTAAAGTTATTTGTTATGTAAAAAACTAAACATGATAATTGTCACTGCGCTGCTGTAAGTGTATTGTGCCCCAGTACAATACTAAGTGTATTGTGCCCCAGCACAAGCGCGCGGCATCGACAAATGCCGTCCCCCGAACTTTTACAAGCTGTAACTTTTAAACTAGAAGAGTCCACAAATTTCTGATTTCAGATTCGAAATCAGCATAAAAACACTATAAATTGGCAAAAAAAAGGGTGCTCGGTAAAGTGCATTAATACCAAAATAAATCAGGTGACTAACAGAGGGTTAAATAAGCGATTAATTTAAGGTGTAACAACGATAAACTTTTTTAATTATTGTAAATTAATTTAGTTTAATAGATTATAAAATAAAATACTTATAACTAACAAGTAATTTTTGATTATCCAATAACATCTAATTTATTTTTCTTAGAATGACTTTACGACAATTATTGAAGGAACAAAGGCTTCTAACAGTTTGCCATCGGGCGTCAATTGGAACTTCTATAGCAGTTATCCTAAGTTTATGAAAACAATGTCTACAAGACAAACACATATTCTGAAATTGTAAGTTTTATGTATACATATATTTATAGTGTACCATGAGGTTTTTACCTATTAGGATTTTACCTACTACAAACATTTTTAATTTAGTTTATTTTAACTATGTTAATATTTGTGCTTTATTGCTGGACTATTTCATAATTTATTTTACTTTATACAACCAAAAGAATTAAAAATGTCATTTATATTTTAAGAGTTGTGTAACTCTTTTAACATTACCTGCTGTACTCTCCTTGCCTAGACATTTATATGGTTCTAACTCAAGAATTACTTCTTTAAAACTGGTAACATCTAAACAATCAAACATTTTATTTAGTTAACCATTTTTACTATACAAGATTTCAGAATTTCAGTTATATTACAAAACATGTATTACACAAAATTGAATAAAATAAACTTTTATTTACACAAGATATAATAATAGGTAGGTGTTCTTAATGAATACCTGTATAAGTTATTAAAAATTATAAAATATAATAAATCATAGTTGTTGTTATTTAGATTGTCTGCTTTATTGAAAAATCAAAGAATTCAAGGGAACATCAGAGAATGTGACAATGATAGTAAATTTCAATTAATTGAAGATGGCAATGATACAATATTAGATAGAGTGGTAAGAGACTGAACCTTATCTTTATTTTATTAAAAAAAAAAAATTAACTAAATTTTTTTCTCATTGTCTGCTGTAGCCTCAGGCTTAAGTGATTTATATACAATTAACTTTTTTTTTTTATCACGATTACAATAATCTACTACGCACATCCCATAGTGTTAAGGACTGTATTATTTATCCTCTATATTCAGCAATAAAATTGCGCAAAATTTGTTGCTAATAACTCAAAAGTTTACATTCGTCATCCATTGCTGTAGAATCAATACTGAAAAACTGTCATTATGTACCTCACACAATTAAATACTGAATATTCATTATCTGATTTTTCCATCAGTCATCAGTATTATTTTTGAATTTGACAGTACATCACTACTTACATTACATGATCAATAATACTTTTAGTATCTGAAGTATCAATAATGTTGATTTTGTAAGGGAGTTTTGTAGTTTCAGAGATCATATATTGTTACCTTAACTTTAAAGGGCAAAAAAAAATGTTAATAATTTTAACTTATTTTTAGGGAAATTTATATAAGATTTAATTTATGATTATTATGTTTAATAATTACCATTAAATTAACAATTGAATCACTGTTTGTAGAAAATACACGAGTCAAGAATATCAAACTGTTGGGAATTTAAAAAAGACTGATTTATTTTTAATGTTTTTTTTTTCACCAATTAAAATTCTTGTTTGCTGGCCTATTAAATACCCTCTTTTCTTATAAAATTATAGTCAAGTAAAAGTACTTGATTACTACTGACATTTCTTTTTTCATTTTAAATCAATTGGAGGTAAAGAGGACATGGATTAAAATTTCTCTAACCCTATTTAAAGACTGTTATAAACATATAATATATGTAATAACTAATATGTATTGTATCATCTATAAATAATAAATAATTTTATATAAATATAAATATAGTCTCTATAACAAAGTATATTAATTACAGTTTGACATTTTTGTAACAATATAATTATTTTTAGAATCATAATGTTGATTGTTTGAATGGGTCATTCAAACATGATGATGTATTTATTATGCCTAAACGTTTATTATCTAATAATGATTCTGGTGATAAACTTCAAGTCAACATCAAAAATAAAGTATTAGTACATGGACGTATTGTTGAAAGACCTCAAATCAAATTTAAAGTCAAAGTGGACAATCGACCTGTACCTTTCAAACCACTTTTACAGAGTAAACCTAATAGTAAAACACCATTGAATTTATGTTTGGAAACAAATGTAGAAGGAATTATGTAGTAAGTATTTATTTTTAGATCTATAACAACTTTTTTTTTTTATATGTCAAAAAGATAAAAGATAGTCAAAATGATTTACATTTTGACAGATTTTATGTAATCAGTAATGTTACCAAAAATGTTTATCGAGACTAAATGTTATAATCGCTGGTGATTAATTTACCCCAATCTGTCCCTGATTTGATTATTAATTTGTCAAATCTTTGTAATCCTTACTGAACAAATTTCACTAAATTACCCTGGCATACCTTTTCAAGTATTAAATTAAAATGGAACCAAAAACAAATACTCAAAACATTACTTTTGTTTAAAAAGTCTAAAACAACTATCCTTAAGAAATAGCCGATATTAAAATATTAAAAGTGATATTTAACTAGAGATAATATGTCTTTTACTCTAAATTTATTCCAATTTTAAATTTAACTGATAAACAATGCAATATTTGAGATCTGCTCAAGATTGAACATTTTTTAATCTAAGCTAAAATCAATGATACCAAAAACAAGAATTAAAGTGTCTGGCAAATTATTGGTTTTAAAAAAAACTTTTTTTAACTCGCTTGATTTTAACAAATATTTGTTTTGAATTGTTAAACTACAACTGTTCTGAAACTTACTGGGTTTTATTATTAGTTACAAACATCCATATGAAACCGAGTTGCTAGAGTTTAAAGTACCCGAAGAACATTTAAAAGTTACTATTGCTATAAAACCAGAATCACTAGATAAAACAAAATTTGTCGAAGTATTTACTGAAGATCAACTGAGCTTGATGATTTCAGAGTTGAAAAGTGTTCGAGAACTGGCTATAGATTTAGAGGTTGGTGTTTTAATTTTATAAATTATATTTTTATTTAATTCATTTTTTAACAAATTTTTAACTATTTAGGCACATAATTATCGCTCTTATCAAGGATTCACATGTTTAATGCAAATATCAACAAGAAATGCAGATTATATTATTGATACATTAGAACTGAGAGATAAGATGCATGATCTAAATGAAGTACTGACAAACCCTGCTGTAGTTAAAGTAAATTATTAAAATACAAATATTTGTAAATCTTTGAAAAAAATTGATTTTCTATCTTAGGTATTCCATGGGGCAGACAGTGATATTTTGTGGCTACAAAGGGATCTTGGCCTTTACATAATAAACATGTTTGATACCTATCAGGCGTGTAAAATATTAAATTTCTCTAGAAAAGGACTAGAATTCCTTTTGAAACATTATTGTGGTGTGAATGCTGATAAGTCATTTCAATTATATGACTGGAGAACGAGGTATAAATATTATTAAACCTCTTAACACTGTAGTTTATTATATTTTTCTATTTTTTTTAGGCCACTTTCTGAAGAGGCTAAACATTATGCTCGTTGTGATACACATTATTTGCTTTATATTTATGATATGATAAAAAAAGATTTAAAAGCTATGTCTAGCAAACATAATGATTATGTTGAACTAACATTTCAACGAAGTACTGATGTGTGCAAAACGGTTAGTATTGATTAATTAAACTAAGTAAATTATATTCAAACCTAGTTATTATTCAAATAATAATAAAATTGTACTTTTATTTAAGTGGCAAGCTCTTATTTTTTATTAACAGGAAATATAGGCACTCATTTTAAAGAAAAAATGATTTAATAAATTTCGACCATGACAAATTATTTTAGGTTAATCTGTTTAAGCTTCAAGGTATTGTGTTTATCATATACAATTTTTTCTATGAGTAATAGGCTTTTTGTTAGTATTAAATGACTGTACGGTAAAAGCTCTTACGCCTTGTAGAGTAGTTAAATTTAGTGCCTGTGATTTTAAACGTGTAATTTAAATACACGTGTACACGAAACCCGTGTAATTAACATACACGTGTATTTAAAAAAATGTATTTTGTCAAAAATGTTAGTTTGAGTTAACGTATTGACACAATTATACTTGTGTTTGAGTTTGTATAATTAAATAGACGTGATATTAAACGTAAAACTAAAATTAATAACAAAAATAATTTTTTTGAATACACGTGTATGTTAATTACACGTGTTTCACGTGTAATTGAATACACGTAATAGGGACCTCTAGTTAAATTACAATAGCTGTTTAATTGTTGGTATGAAATAGAATTCCTACAGAGTTCATTAGACTTTAATTTTTGATTGCTACCAAAAATCAAGGGAACATAAGTAAAAAACTTGTGAAAATTAGTCGTATTTAAACTCTAATTAAAGTTTTTAGAAATAGAATACATTTCTCATTCTCTCTCCAGTCTCCTCTTTTCAAAAAATAGAAGTTATTGTAGTCAAAGAAATATTTCGTAAGGTATGAGAGTTTATTTCGTATGACCTGTTTTTACTCATAAAAACAAGCTGCTCACAAGACCTTAAACGAATTAAAATCAATTTAATAATTTTTTAGTTAAATGAAAATAGCTTTAATAATTCAAATTAGAAAAATACATAAATAAAGTATTATTTAAAAAATCATCATGCAACTTGTTGAAAGCCCGCTGCTGTAGCTCCTTTTCTTAAGACAGTTCCCTAGCCAGCAAACAGAACTGCCTGACCGAGTGTTGAACCGTTGACCTTTGACAGTGAGCACAAACAAATTTACCCTTACCCACATAGCTATTCGTCCTCCTCATATTATTTCTAACATTTTGTTATGTGCAAAATAAAAATGTTTTTCAAATAACCAATTTTATTTTTCTAAATATATATATATATATATATATATAAATCTTTATTGTATTTTTAGAGGTATGAAATAAATATTCTTCAAGATGATAGTCACATGAGTATGTACAAAAGAAGCAAAAAGCTATTTGATTTACAACAAATGTATGCTTTAAAGGAATTGTATGCGTGGCGAGATAAAATTGCTAGAGAATTAGATGAGAGCCCAGGGTAAAATTTTAAAAATTAAATAAAATGTTTTATTACAATTTATGAAAAATAAAAGACATTTTATTGTATAGGTATGTTTTACCAAATCACATGCTGATTAAGATATCAGAAACATTGCCAAAAGAATTTGCTGGAATATTAGCTTGTTGTTCGCCAATACCACCGTTAGTTAGACAGTGCTTGCATGAAATTAATCATATCGTAAAAAAAGCTAGAGAACAATCATTTGAAAATGTAAGTCATTAATTTATTTAGTTTTGTCTCTACCTATTTAATTGTTTGGTTTTTTTATTAGATAGAAAAATATGTAGAAAACCATAATCTTCCACTAAATACTGTCCAACATAAAGACATTGACATGTTAAGCTTACATGATTATTCTAAAGTATGCGGAAGTGTTACTGACACTTTGCCTACATTATTGGATGACAAAAATTATGATTCAGTAGAAGAGCTATCAGAAGTTTTGATTACACCTTATGGTATCAGTGTTTTTCAGGTAAATAAAAATATAACTTTTATCATTGTGTAAATTATATTATACAATATATGCTTAATGATTTTATATAATATACATGAGCAGAACGAGACTAGTTTTAGGGTGTGCTCCTAACTGGATAAAATAAATGTTCTATTTATTGTATCAGTTTGGTTGTTTGGATTAATAAATACAGAGATTTCACAACTTGTAATGTTTATATAATGTAATAACAAACATTTTTCTCGGATTTAAAAAATATTTTGACAGTAGATGTTCAGAGTGTGCTAAAGCATGCATGGTACACCTTGTAGCTCCTAAGATATTATTTGTTTTGAAGAAAATGTTTATGACAACTGTGTTTTTTATTCCAGAATATTAAGAAAAAACAAAAAAATTGTGAAGCATTCACCAATTTTATTTTCAAACGTCCGTATGATATGTATGTAAAAACTTTGGAGTATAAAATGGCTAATAAAAACACTAAAATCGAAAATGATACTGTAGATACTAATAAAACCAATGCAAAAAACTTAAGTGTACCGATGGATTGTCCAGACAAAATTCTTTTCCGATTACCAAAAGTAATAATTATTTATTTGATTTTAGAATTAAGTTGTTATTTATGTTGTTAGAATGCTAGGAGGTTACATAAACTAAAAGGATTTAAACATATCTAAATTATTTAGTGATTATTTGAACATTAAATAGTGGTTCTGTGATTAAACTTTAATTATGTCAGTAAAAATTACCAATTAATCTATAGATACAAGTATTAGTATTGATGATTCAATACCAAATTTCCAATAATAACTTGTAAATTTAAATCATGTTTTTTTAACTAAATTGTGTATGATACAATATTTTCAAAAACCATATCATATTTACTATTTTTTGTATGATAGTTTTGTTAAACATTTAAAAGTAAAAACATTTTTATTGTTTATTTATTTTTTAATTAATAAATGTAATATTCATACTTCTTGATTTTTTAGAAAAAAGAAATTAAACAAGAATCTACATGCGACATAAAGATTGTAAAAGAAGAAATACCAGAGCCAGAAAATTTAACAAATAATGAGAGCAGTGTATCTTCAGATAAACCTGACATAGAAGGCGTTTTGAGTAAAAAACCTAAATTTGTAGCTCATGACTACAGTAATACAAACTTTTCAAAATTTCATAATCAATCAAAAGATGTTTTGTATATTACTAAACGACTTCAACGGGTAATTATTATCTCTTGAATTAATTTGTATTTGAAATTAATCACAGTTAATCAATTGTTTAACCATTTATTTTATGCATATACAGTGTGATCTATTTAACAATTTAGGACACCTATTTTCAAACATTTTTATGTCTCGTTTTAAAATTTATAAGATTACTAAATATTTACCTTTTTAGTATTTTCAAGAACTCTTAACAACTTTTGAAACTTAAATGGTTAAGGTGCCTCACACTAAAGTTTATTAAGGCACATTGCATAGGCAATTTTTTGCTAAAATAACATTTTAACATTCATAATATTTGTATAATAACATTTATAATATTTGTATCTATTTTGTTAATTCATTTTTTTTTTTCAACTTTTATTACGCATTTAGGATTTATTTTTGTAAAAAATCATGTTTCTAGTTCAAACGTACTAAGAATTCTTCGATGTAAGTTTTGAAAACATTTGAATTCTTCATAACATTTTTAAGGCAATGACTGTGACACTATTTTAAAATTATTTTTAGCTAATTAATTATTTCAATGTAAAAAACTGTATTTTTAACTTTTTTAAACTGAAATAATTAATGAACAAAAAATAATTTTAAAATTTTACCGTAGTCATTGCCTTTGAAAGTGTTAAAAAATAAATGTTTTTTCAAAACTTAAATCAAAGTATTCTTAGGAACAGTATGTTTGAAATAAAATGTGTTGTTTTAGACCAGGTGTAGAGGCCCCTTATTATATTTTATTAACTTTTTAAATTAAGAATTTTCTGAAATTTTTTTATCAAAAATATTTTTTGCAGAAAAAAAATAAATCTACTAAGAAGAGCAAGCCAAAGCGATTACAGAAAACTGTTTAGATTTAAATTGCTGATTACGAAAAGGAAATATCACTAATTTGTAATTAAGAGTTCAACAATTGACTACATATAAAAATTGACTTTTTGTGTAACCTGATTTTTTTCAGAAAATAAAAATATTCTATAATTACACTAGCGTTTGCAATTGTTTTTCAATACAATGGTTTATTTTTGTATAATCTTCGTTTATTCTTCTGTAAATGACAGATTGTTATTAATAAGAGATGGATCTAACCTGATATTTTTTTTTTAGTAGAATTATATTGTAAATATTTAAGTAGTGGGTAATTATAAACAAATCGCCAAGAAACCAGGCTTTCAAAAAATAAATACATCAATAGATGACAATCAAATTAGAAACAAAAATTGAACTATCGATAGTAATGTTTTATTTTAATGACAATAAATTGTGGGAATAAAACAATTACTTTTTCATTGTTGGAATGAAGTAGATGCCCTTAAAAACAATTTGTACAATTTGTATCTAAATATCTATGCAATAGATAATGTCTAGTACATGACCTAATGGAACATGTATTCCATTCACAATATAAATTCTAAAACTGTAAATATATTTTTATTTATAATGTATATAAAAAGCAATAGTTTTTTTCACTAATAAATTTGATTCTTATAAAATACAACATTGAAAACAATATAAAAACTACAGTAGAAAAATAAATGTCAGTCTTGGTTGCTTGGCATGTATTCTTCTTACATCATGCCTCCCATTCCTCCCATTCCGCCCATACCACCCATTCCACCCATACCACCTCCTGGTAATGGCTCATCCTTTTTCGGTAATTCTACGACTACTGCTTCTGCTGTGGTTAAAAGGGAGGCTACACCAGAGGCATCAGTCAAAGCTGTTCTGACAACCTACAATAACAAAAAAAAAAAGAAATAAATAGCACCAGTAAAATTATATAAAGATATATTGAAATGTAATATAATATTTACTTTTGTGGGATCGATAATTCCTTTATCGATCATGTTAACATACTCGTCATTCATAGCATCATAACCAAAGTTATCTTTGCCTTCTAAAACTTTAGCGACTACTACACTTCCGTCTACACCTGCATTTCGGGCAATTGTCATGCATGGCATAGTTAAAGCTTTGCGTATAATTTCAACCCCTGTACATTTATAAAATGTAATTAAACTTACGAACCATATTACAATAATAATTAATTACACATACCAATTTTTTGATCATCATTAGACACCTTAATACTGTCCAAAACACTAGAACAACGGATGAGAGCAGTTCCACCTCCAGGAACAATACCTTCTTCAACTGCAGCACGAGTTGCATTTAAAGCATCGTTTACACGATCTTTTTTTTCGTTAACTTCCACTTCACTACTACCACCAATTTTTAGGACAGCTACACCAGAAGCTAACCTAGCAAGACGTTCTTGCAATTTCTCTTTTTCATACTCGGATGTAGTATCTTTAATTTGATCTCTGATTTGTTCAGCACGACGTTCTACTTCAGATTGTATGCCTTTACCCTATAACATAATTCCAATTAATTCAAAAACTATTAATTTCATTAGTTGCAAAATTATTACTTTTAGGAGTAATGTATCATCTTTGGTAATGACAACTTCCTTGACTTCACCAAAATCATCAGCTTTGATATCTTCAATTTTCAATTCATTTCCTTCTTGTCCAAATACAATACCACCAGTTGCAATAGCCATATCAGTTAATGTTGCCTTGCGGTTATCACCAAAACCTGGAGCTTTTACTGCAGCAACATTAAGGCCAATTTTCAATCTTAAAAAAAAAAACAAGACAAATTACCATTTAATTTATTATGCTGTTATGTTATCATTCAAAATTAACTGATTTCAATATCTTCAACAACAAAAAAATATATATATTGAAAATTAGCAGTTTTGTAGACAACAAAAAAAAGTTTAAATTTAATAGATATTAGACATTTCTACATTCAGTCTATGGTAGTTCATTACATATTCTTAAAAATAGCAATAGTTTAATTTTCCAAATCAGAATATTACCTGTTTAATACAAGCATTCCAGTTACTTCACCATCCAAATCTTCAGCTACAATCACAAGGGGTTTGCGTTGGGCATTGGCCAATTCTAAAGCAGGAATTAATGACTGTGCAGATGAAATCTTTTTTTCGCTGAACAATACCAAAGCATCTTGAAATTCCACTTTGGCACCTAAAATATAATTAATAAAGTATATAATCTAAGTGTAAAGATACATTTTTTAAATTAAATTGATGGTACTTTATTAGTCAAAACATAAATTGTCATATATATTTATAACATTTTTCTTTTTTATTAAGTTAAGAAGAATAGTATAACCAAAATATTGCATATTAGCTGTATATGCAGTATGTTAATAGTATATACTCATACAAGGTTATTATCAACGTACCTTTGGCAGCATTAATGAAATATGGTGAAATATATCCTCTGTCAAATTTTAATCCTTCAATTACTTCTAATTCATCATCTAAGGTTTTCCCATCTTTAACAGTTATAACACCATCCTTACCTACCTATAAATAATCTATTATAATTATCTCACATTTAAAGATCTTTAATATTATATTAAGAAAATATCTTTACTTTTTCCATTGCAGATGAAATAAGTTTTCCAATGCTAGTATCACCATTAGCAGAAATAGTTGCAACTTGAGCTATTTCATCAGATGACTCTACTTTTTTAGACAAGGTGCCCAAATGCTGTTTTACAACATCAACCGCCAACATAACGCCTAAAAAATATTCCACAGTTTGATACATTATATTTGATAAATGGAAATAATTAAGGACTTTAGGACGACATTTACCTCTTCTTATTTCAACTGGGTTAGCCCCTTTAATAATCTTTTCAAAGCCTTCTTTTGCTATTGCCCTAGCTAGTACTGTAGCTGTAGTAGTACCATCACCTGCTTCGTCATTGGTGTTATTGGCTACATCTTGTACAAGTTTGGCTCCAATATTCTGAAATTTATCTTGCAGTTCAATACCTTTAGCTACTGTTACACCATCTTTTGTAATTTTTGGAGAACCCCAACTTTGCTCCAAAATAACATTTCGCCCCTGTAATAAAAAAATAATTATTAAGCAAATTCAAGAACTGTATGAATACTTTAGTAACTGACTTTTGGACCCATAGTAACTGCTACAGCATCAGCAAGTACATCAACTCCTTCAAGCATAAGTTTTCTTACTTCTGCACCAAATTTTATATCCTTGGCGTAGGTTCTAGATAAGTGTTTAGCAACATTGTTTTTTGCAATTTGTGATAAACGATACATCTAAAAATGTATTTAAAAAAATTTATAAAATTAAAATATATTATAGTAATTTTACTATACTTTTATTTTTAGACTAATAGGTCAATTTACAATTTTACAAGGACGGGGATTAATGGGGTGGTGGTTTTCCATTACTTTACACACCAGTTAGTTGGCCACTTCTTTCGCCAAACGGTTGCCCGCCCAGAGAGAGAAATGGCCAGCGACCAAGATTCATTCAATGGATAGTGCAGAGAAGACACTATAATACAAAAATCAAACGGTAGAGATAAATTAATTCATTTATATGAGAACCTTTTTTTTTAATATTTAAAGCCAGAGCAGCTGCAAACTAAAATTAATAAGATATTTACATAGTAGTTTAATATCTACTAATGGAGTAATAATTTCAAAAATGTATAAAAAATATTGGTTAAAATATCATTGGTGTAGTAATTTTGAAACCACATGTTAGTGTAAACTTCTATACGTACGACATTTACATTAATTCAAGAATTCATTAATTATAATTATTACATTTAATAATATTTCATTAAGATAAAGTAATCATACTTCTAGAATTACTTATTATTAACTAAAAAGAATCTAATGACCATTAAAGTTAAACGTAGGTTAACAGTTAAGCAATCAAAAACAAGTCTTATAAATAATAACATAAAAAAAAGTATCTTACTTCAAATTAATATTATTTAATATTTTCTGAAAAATAGTTATTTCGTGAAGTGGTGACAGATATGTTGAAGAATGAGAAAATTTACAATTACAAGATGTAAGCCCGTAAAATAGTGGATGAACTATTAAGTATTAACCGAATACGGAATAACGTTGCCGGCGAAACAATAAAATGTAAAAGGCCAGCAGCAGAAGCAATTATTTTATAGGCTAGGAAAGTTCTAGAAGAAGATAGACAGTGTGACCAACAGGCAAATATGATACATGAAAACTTTTTATAAGGTAAAAGTAAAAAAAAAACCCGCTCATTTTAAAACGGATAGATATATTAACATAATAATATGTAAGTGTATATATATATGTCGACATAGGTGATAATTGGACATAAATGTTTTACCTCTATAGCTTCTATCAACATTATCCAAAATATTAGAAAATCTTTCTTTAACGAAAATGCTGTTGAAAAATACAGACATTTTTCCACATTATAATAATACAATAGACAGTAGACACAAAAACTAAACAATTACGAATTCGTCAAGGCAGTTCATACAAAAAAAAAAATCTAGAGAAAAAGTTCAAATAAAAAAAAAATCTTCTTTAAACAATTCTACAAGTAAAGTATTATTAACATTTAACCTGAAACTTAAGTACATTCCTACGTTTAATAGCTGTCAAAAACAATTTGTTCAGAATTTTTAATGGGTTTATTGATTTACCACCCTTCATGACCAAACAACATACGCAGTAATATTTAAATAACTGACACCATTTACTATAAAACTTATAATACATGTTCATAGTATAGTCTTACATTACGTACCTCAAAATTACTAATTAGAGATGGTAATTGGTAAAGAATAGCCATCGCAATGGTTTTAGCCACGACATAGAGAGATGTCTTCTCTACAGTACGGTTTTAGTTATATCTGCTAAGTGGCAAATGCTAATCAGAATCAAAATTAACAGTGACTGGTATTTTTATTATTTTACTTTTCTTATAGCTGCACTATTACAACTGTTAACCGCCATCCAGATTACCGTGATTGCTACTGTCATACTAATTGCTAACACAATGACACTAATTATTATAGTTACTACGTCAGAAGTCTTACTCTATAAATATATAAGTATTATGGTCTTACTAGTCAGCTATTAGACACTAGTACTGCTAACTTTATATACGAAATAGCAATATGCCATTGCTAACAATATTACTAGAATTTTACCATCACTTACTACAAAATGATTAATAGTAATTGGGAGAATTTCCTATTGAGTCTTATGGGTTGAGACAACAATTTTAAATAATGACATGTTCTTTTTTTTCTTTTTTAAAGTAGAATATTTGGTTATTTTACATTCTCAAATTCCATATCATATTTATACCAGTATAACATTATAAGGGAATTGGGAATTTGAAATCTACAACTTCTTTGTTTTTAATATTCCTTATCACAATTGTATAAATTGATAAGTCTACATTCAAGTTATAAGGTAGGTATAACCTAAAAATTGTTTTAGTCCATTTTCGTTTTGTTTACTTTATAGTTCATACGGAATTCTGGTTACTTCTTGCCTCTTGGTACGAACTACGATACTCATATTCTATTATTGAAATTATTCAATTCAAGTGTAAGTACGAACTTTATCTGAATTTATCTAAATAATCCTTTTGTTATAATATCTTATTTTTTCAAAGTCGAATTTTATAACTTAAATGTTTAATAGATATTTATTACCCAAGCGATAATAATATATTTCTGTACTATAAAGTATAATTATTAAAACTGTTTCTATTTACAAAATTATAATTTTAGAGGAACCATGTCGATCAAGCCCAAGTATCGTCCACAAATCATCAAAAAAAGAACTAAGAAGTTCATCAGACATCAAAGCGATCGTTATGATAAACTTAAGGTGATACCTACTATTTTGTGTTAAAATTTTTAAGTAAGCTAACTTAATAAATTTACCGTTCACAGCCCAACTGGCGTAAACCCAAGGGTATTGACAACAGAGTTCGTAGACGTTTCAAGGGACAATATTTGATGCCAAATGTTGGTTATGGTAGTAACAAAAAGACTAGACACATGCTACCGTCCAAGTTTCGTAAAGTGCTTGTTCATAATGTTAGGGTAAGTTTACAAAAACTGTTATATACATGCTAAGTAATCTATTCAAGTTTTTATTTTTCAGTTTTATTTAATTATTTTTTTTAAAAAATGTGTTAGATAGTTTTTGTAAGCGTATTGTATTGGCAGTTCTTTGTAATGAAAACATAAAAAAAAATTCTCGCATTTCTTTTTTGTTAAATTTTGTTTTATTATAAACTAGTTTTGATAATTTATAAGTGTATAGCGTAGCTTAAACTAAAATGGACTCGAAATATTGTGGAGTGTGTAGTTAGAATCTTATTTTTAATTTACATAGTAAAACATTATTTATATTAAACTGTCTTATGAAGTTATATAATAGTTACATTATTTAAATTTTGATTTGTACATAGTATGCATTAAGTAGCGAATTATATATATTATACTCCTCCTCTGTACCTCTTTATGTCCTTACATATGTTTTATTTCGTGATTGATATAATACAATTAAACAACATCACATTAGGAGGGTCTTGTTTGAATTTATTAACTATAAATTCTCACATTATACATTTTGTATGTTCCGTAAATCAATAACATTGGAGGATTTACCTTTCATTTTCCTTGTTTAATTGTATATGTTCAATTTTATATTAAGAGTTATATAATAAATTATATATACTTTAATCCTTATTTTATTTACACGACACAAATAAATAAATTATTTTTGGTTTACAGGAACTGGAAATGTTAATGATGCAAAATAGAAAATATTGTGCAGAAATTGCCCACGGTGTGTCATCCAAAAGCCGGAAAGTTATTGTCTCCAGAGCACAAGAGCTATCAATTAGATTGACCAATGGAAATGCTCGTATCCGAACACAGGAAGGTTAAGTTATGTAAAAAAAATATTATTAATAAAAAAAAACAAAACATATATGTTGTTTTTTTTATTATTTTGAAATGGTATCCTGTTAACACCATGAAATTATTTTAAGAGTACAGATATATTTTAGTTGGTAACATTTTACAATTCATGCTAATTCAGTAATAATCCGGAATTGTCAACAAACATTTTACTTCTAAAACTTATATATTACTAGTTCTGAACTCCTTCATAACATATTTTGTCTGTCATTTCCATCAATGGTTCTAGTTCTTTACTAATTACTAAATCAAATTCGGTAACAAAATAGTAAAAATGTTTGTAACATGTGTTGACATGAGGTTCCTAAAAATACACAAATTCAATCATTAATTATTAGAATAATATATATTTTTATACTATTATATTATCAAAAAGCCAGTTTGATAAGGTTACAGGTTTATCTTAATTATTAGTTATTATTATTACAGTAAAATATAAACAGGTTATCTCTAATCTGTGGTAAAATTAAAATATTTTTGCATGATCTCTTTATAAAATAATGATGGGACTTAAATTTTAACTTTTGGTCAGTTTTTTTTATGAAGACACTAATATGTAAACAGATTTAAATTTTTTGAATGCTATGAAATTTTATATTTTTAAATTTAAATTGTTCCAGTTTGAAATAAAAACATTGTGAAGGAACAGTTGTATACATGATAAAAAGAAACAATACTGTGTAATCATGTTTATTTATTTCTTACTTTAACATATATAAAGATTTACAAATTTGTATTACCATACTATTTTATATTCTACATTCATTCTAATTTTCCTAATTGACCCCATTAAAGTACCATTTGGTCTGATTTCTGGTCTAGAGAATTAGTTTATGAAGAAATCGAGCCAAGTTATTTTTTATAACCAGTGGTTTTAAGTTATCTTGTTCAGACACAAAAATAGAAAAAAACAAACCTCTGCTATGCAAACTGTTATTAAAACTAAAATAAACATTTTAATAGTATTATCACAAATGTATTAAGGAGTGCAAATAAGCTTCTAAGTTTACATCATCAATAGACACAATTGTGTATTATATTCAATACTTTAATTTTTTAATTGTGATCATCCAAATTACATTATTATGGCGTTTCAAAAATTAAATTTTGTTCAAGAAAATAATTAAAAACTGCCACCGACTGCTTAAATGACAACAAAAATTCTATAAAACATATTTTTATCAGTATAAGGGTAAAATGCCTCTATATTAATAATATATTATTTAAAGATAAGTAGCTCTAATATTATTATTAAAGTTCCATAAAAAATAACCGTTTGAATGGTAAAACTTAAAGTTTATGTTTTGCAGACTGATATTATTTAATTAACATTTGTTGAAAGTAGCTGTAATGGCGTTCAATTTCTTAAAAAAAAAAAGTGTGTTATAACTTCTAAATTCAATTTCAGTATGTAGTGACCAAAGTCCATACTACTGGGGTCAGGCCTTTGGCTCGACCACTTTTCCAAAAATTGTGCATTATATCTCTATAAAAGTTCATGCTGAGGCCACTAAGTTTTGGAATTGCCCGACCTCATTTTTAAGACTGGCACCACTAATTTCAGTTACATAATAAATTAGTTATTTAATACTAATTCAACTATTTATTTGTGTTAAAAATACTTACTGCTCCAATAGATACTATTCTATCAAAATGATGAATATAAACATGTACAAATACTCTAAATAAACGGGTAAGTATTTTTTTACAAAGCGGCATAAATGTTTTTGGAAATGGCACATCTATAAATAATAAAAAAGAAAAACATAATGTCATCACTAAAACTTTGAAAAAAAAAATTACCTGTTGAAACTGGGAAAAGGTGTTCATTATTAATTTGAGTTTCAATCCAATCCATTAGCAATGAAACATACTGGGGCGCCGGGAGCTGTGTTGGTTTTTTGTATTTTTCTTTGTCAGCCCATAAGTATTCAAACTTTGGACCACCACTCATCGTCGGGCATGATTCTTTGGTACAATAATCACATACAGTACCGTAAATTAAATTAATACGATTGAAGAAATCAACCACTAAAATAAAACAATATGAATGATAATTCTTTTTAATAAATAGTGTCTTCATAAATATAATTACACAATTATATTAGATCAGGCTTAATAAATGGAAATAAGGAAACTGAGAGTAAAGACTTTCAAACAAATGTTCATGAATTCAAGGAGACTTTACAGACATTAGAAGATTTAATATAAAGTTGGGTATACATAGTTTTATAATAATTTATGAGATTAATCTCTTGGTTTTGTAACTGATAAGCGATACATAAATACTAGAATATTTAGTAAACCAATACTATTATGCTTAACACGTTATTAGTTCCATGAACCGTGTTTGCCCTATTATAGTGTTCTTGGAATCAATAAACCAGCATGAGCTAATTATTATGAAATTTGTCGTTAATAAATAAAAAAGGTATAAATTTACTTTTTTACCATCTTGTAGTGTATTTTACAATATTTACAAATCTGAAGACAAATCCACAGACCTTTTAGTTCAAAAATTAATAACTACTTGAATTTTTGAGAATGAACACTGCAGGAGATACCTGCGCAACATAATATGTTCAGTTGCCGTGATTGAAAAACAGCAGTTGTTTGATAACACGTATATTAATTAATTTATCACAATTAATGAGTGTCAATCTCTAATTTATGTTTACTAACTTATTTTATTTTGAAAGATGGACTGAAAGTATCGGTTTGGACAGTGACTACTTGCAGAGCAGTATTAGGATGGCTTATTTTTCTTTTACATAAGCTATTTTTGGTTATTGGGGGTTTAAGGGCTCGCCGAAATTCAAAGTAGTGATCATAGTGAATTAGCACACACATGTTCTACCGTGCTGCTGACCCCTATAGCTCACTACAACTAGATGATGATGTACGAGAGGAAAAGGTATTAATAATTCTTAAAGTTCAAGAAGCTATAACTTTCAAACTAGAAGAGTCTGAGGATTTCTGACGCCATATTCATAATCTGCGTAAAATTTTTTTAAAAAAAGTGCATTTGTTCGAAAATAAAATAACGCTTACTGGGACATTAGTGGCTCATATCTCCCCTAGGGTATTTAATTTGCATACTTATAAAATAGATTAATTTTAGTTTTATATTTTTTAATATACTTTTAAAAATAACTTTATTAGTATTTATAACAATAATTGTTATAAATACTGTGATATTGTTATAAAATGTTTTTTTTTCATTGATCTTTAAAAATATAAAAGAGTAGTAACTATAATTTTTATTAAATTGTGTAAAAATACTTTTCCAAAATATTAACTAACATTACTATTATAATTGAATCGGTCTTTAGGGCTATCCTATAAATGTGTAGATACTTTTTTTTATGGAGAAACACCTTTTGTCTCCGAGTTTTTTCGTTCTAAATAGGGATTTGGATTTGCTGTTCACAAAAAAAACACCAGTCCCGTCTTGGTGTTTCTGAAAACAATGCAATTCCTTCAAGTAACATTAGTACAGCCAATTTAAATTCAAATGTTTGTTAATAAAATAGAATAAAAAAAATGGTCTATCATATAAACTACTATGATTTAGAGTACTAAAAGAAATTATGTGTTTTCAAAGGCTTTCTTCCCTCCTGTGTTGACGAAAGAAGTTTTTTCCTTGTTAATGACTATTTTATTTTTATATTTCCTAATATGTATAATTATTTAATATTATTGTATACTTTTTTAAGTGAAAAAAAAAATTTGAAAATAAATTCTAATATTGGACTGTTGAATTTAGCTCAAAATTATGTTCTATAATGGAATAAATAAAACATCTTAATCACTTAAGTACCATGAACGGCAATCCAATCCTGTAAATCTTCACCTGCTGGTAGTTGTACTGCAGTTCGTAAATTGATTCCAGAACTTAAGGACGCTTGTGCTTGTTTATACAATGAGTAGCGAAGAGTACCAGGTGAAAACTTTTTCTTGGGTCGAAATGTCTGTAAATAAATACAATTAAGTACATAATATAGCTTTTCTACAATTGTACTTACTTTTCCTTTTTGGAAAAAATCAATGAATCCACCAAAAGACATTGTAAATTTATATTTGTAAAATTCACCAAGTACTTCATAAAATACAACTTTTGTGCTAAAATATCAAGCTCCAAATTTATATTCTGCAAATCATTGCTAAGTATAATTCAAGACCTAAAATCATACCGTTCTAACAATAATACTAATAGATTTATATATTTTTTAAAATTTGTTTATTAAATTAATTTCATATTTATAAGTAGAACATGCTATTTGTATTTATAAAAATATTGTTATTTTTTCTATTTATTTAATTATCAGTATCAGTGTGTAATTGTATCTCTTCAAAATTATTTTGATTATGATAGATAGCTGCAGCTGGCATCATGGCTATATCTATGGCCGTGGTTAGCATAGCTGCATACTAAAAAACCTTATGCCTGGCCTCTGAGCCTACTTTTTGTTAACAATTATCAATGCGATAACTATAATTTTAATGGAGAAAGAAACTGATAAATTAGTTTGACTTTTGAGCTATACATAATACAGTACTTACTGGAATTATCAATCCGGATATTATTACGGGTTATTATAATTGGTATTTAAATTTGTTTATCACAACTCAAGCATCCTTCAGTCTGCTACCCACCTACCATCACTTTATCTATTTTTTCTCTAGAATTAATCAAATAATATAAATAATTTATAGTATTTGAGTTATTATAGTTTTATGTAAAAAGGAGTTAGCGATCTTCGCTCATAACCCATAGACCTATTCTTTAATCTTTATAGGTCTATGCCATAACTCATTACAGCTTATCAGTTTATATCGACGATAAATGAATAAATCTGCCATTTAGAGTAGGTTAACGTAATAAAACGTAGTGTGATCAGTTCAAATTTGTACTCTATGGATCAGCTAGACCGTAGACGTAAAGAAACCGAAAGTGGTGTTGAGATTAGAGGAACAAAATGAAAATTAAAGTAGCTAAAATGTATTTAATATATAGTTGTTTAAATAGACAGTGGATTGTCATGACTCATGGAGCCAAGCCAAGGCGACTAATCACAACCTGTTCACTACTGTAGTAATAACTACACTCTCCACTGTGATAGTGCTATGTGACCATTGTCATGGTCCAATATTTGTTCATTTGTTCCAAATGTGGAACAAATACCTATTGGACAAAAAACATGTTTTGGAATAACTAATCAGGGACCCCAAAACAAAATTAAATTTTCAATATACACTGTAATAATTCGAAACTCGAAAGTAATTAACTAATGGTTAATGAAGAATTATTTTTTATACTTCCATAGGTACAATATTTATTACTTGTAAAAAAAAATTTTTTTTCATTACAATTTCAATATGAATTAGGTAGGTATGTCAAAATTGAACAAGTTGAATAAAGATCGTTTAGCCAAGTTTATAGAAAATCTTGAAAAGAAAAATGAAAAGAAACAAAACAATGCTTTTAATAACTGCATAGTAAGTTTTACTTAAGGTTATATTCATACATTTGTATACATATTTTATTCTTTGAGTTAACTTAAGAGAGTATACGTAGCACGAAGTTATAATCTTGCCTATTTATTTTGTCTTAGTAAGAGTTCATCAATTACACATCTCTTTTTGCACCTATTATTAATCAGGGAACCTTTTTGTAACATTGTTTGATTAATGATATTGTCCTTTATACTACCCTACATAAGGGGAGGGACGACAACAAAGTCGAGTGGATTAACAAGGCAGAGCTTGTACGCTTTAGTTCACTAGGTGTGCAATCATCTAGAGGTAATGGTAAACCACCGCAGTATCAACCTTCCCAACAACCCATACCTATCACCTTTTTTTTCAATTATTTTTTTTTACTTTTTGAAAGAATAATTGTTAACTTAAAATAAACTTTTTTAAATTGATTTGCTCAAGTTATACAATATACAATTAAAATCAAATGTTAATTTAAACAAACAATATTTTATGTTACTTATAAATAAAATCCATTTTCAGCTTTTCTTAAAAACAGCACTACATGTTTCTCCTAACTTTGTTTATGATACCACTTTGGAAACGCAACATAATGTAAGACAGTTTTTTGATGGAATAGATTTCAGTTGTATTGAGCCAGATGGATTTTTGAAACTCGCACCTATTCTGAAACAAGGAGCAGATATAAAATCTTTTATATGTTATATAGATACAATTTTAAATAAATATGATGTCAAGTTTAATACACTATTGATAGATGTTTGGAATTACTTGGGATGTGATATATTTAAACTACCAGTATTTATTCATGAACGTTGCATCGAGGCTGTACCATTTATTTTTGAAAATACCGTGTTGTATGGTATTATATCATCATGTAATGAAGAGTTAATTGATATATGCACAAGATCACCTAAAGTTTTTCAAGCATGTTCTAGTATACTTAATGAAATATTAATTAGATTGAATTTTTCAAGTACATTTATTAATTTTTTGACAAATTTTATTAAAGGTATAATTTTACAATGTAAAACAAATAATGTGGAAATTTTTAACATTTATCCAGCTAAGTATAAATTTGTATTAATTTTAAACGATTTTGAAAATTTTAACAATATTCTGATTACAGAATTTTTTATGCAGGAAATTAAATCATTAGCATTGAATTATCCCAAACAATTCATTTGTCTCCTAAGTCATTTTCCTAGCATGTATTTAATGTTAGATAGATAAAGATTGTTGTATTGTGTGTTGTTATAAATCCTAAATGTATATTAATAGATTTTAAGTACTGTATTGTTAAAAAAATGTATAAGTAACTATTAAAATTATTTAAATAAAATATTTTTATACTAAAATGAATATGCTTTGTACTTAGTAATTTTATTTAAATAAATATATATATGTAGGTATATTATTATAGGTGTGCGGACAGGGGTAGCATTATGGGCTGCTGTACAATTTTTACCCATTAATAAATTGGAACAACAAGTGTTTTTGCTTATCTATTAAATACTATTAAGTGGTGAAAAAAATAAATTGTATTAAGTAATTAGATTGGAAACTTCTGTTCTCGTACAATTTGTTTTTAAATGATAATTTTGTGTTATACATTATGTATATATATATATATGATGAATTTATGAATGAAATACGGGGGAGTTGCCATGGTGCAGATGTTTGCAGTCTGCAGTTTTGGTAGGAGAAAATCTGGAAGAAGTTCACAATAGGCTTGAGGAATGGAGAATAGCACTGTCTTGAAGTTAAGAGACTAAGAATTAATACAAATAAAACAGAATATATTAAGTATTATTTTGGAAGAAGAGAACAAGAGGTCGATGGATCAAGACAAGTAATAATAATAATAAGCGGTTATGTAATAGGCAAGGTTGAGAGTTTTAAGTGTTTAGGATCTTGTACAAATAACGGTGGCTTTGATAAGGATGTGGAACATTTAATCAAGGGTGGCTGAATCAAGTGAAGAGAAGTGTGAGGTGTTTTATGCGACAAGGTAATTCCAATGAGACTTAAAGGTAAGTTCTTTGAGGTGTGGTGAGACACCATGTTGTATGGTTCAGAGTATTGGACAGTAGACAAAAGAACATAAAATGAGCAGAGATGAGAATGCTTAGGCTGATGAGAGAAGATAAGATGAGATGCAAACGTAAGAGAAAAATATAGAATTGAGATGGTATACCGTATAGGCATGTCATGAGAAGGGAGGAATCAAAAGCAGTAAAATTGGTAATGAAAATAAACAAAAGGGGAAGAGGAAACCGAAAAAAGGTAGTTGGATGAGGTGTATGCAAAGATGATGCGGAATGTTGTGTCGAGTGGAGGATTAGGACAAGGGTGGCTGATCCCATATAGTTGGAATAAAGGCGAAAATGAAGAAGATATACATATATAAGTATTAGAGTGGCGGTGCCTTTATTTTGGTGTCATCACTTAAAAATATGACCAAATTATGGTTATCATTTAAAGTTGTATTTTATGTTAATTTATTAAAAATAAAATAATTTTACCTACTATTTATAGTACTAACTTCTAAGACTTCCCAAGAAGGGGCGGGTTTAACAGGATTTGAGTAATGAGCAAATTTATTGACAAAATGACGATATCGCTATTTTATTTATCATAAAAACTTGCCTTGGCCCTCGAAACACAAATTATGAGTAATATTAAACGGGGAAGGTCCAGTCCGAGCCTAATAAATGCGCTAACTAACCATAAAGCTATTCACATAATGTACCAAGTATACAAAATATAATAGTGAACAGCATCAAGTACAATAATTTATTAGTCCCCATCGACTAACCCGTTTCCAACGTTATAACAAATTATATTATACTAATTGTACTGTTATATACCGAGTGTTTCTTTTAATGCCCTACACTAGCTTACTCTTAAAATAAAAGAAATTTTGTAGTGTTTCTTCTAAAAACATTTTTATTTATTTTACAGAACAATATTAGACAATATTCAATTTTTAATCTTTTTTAATATTTGCTTAATTGAGTTACGAAACTTAAAAGAATCAAAAAGTATATCAGTTATGGTTTAATATAATAAACATTTTAGTAACTATACAACTCAACTTAAAACCCAAACCCTCGAAAATGTATTTTTGTCTGATTTGTGATTAGTTGCGAATATTGAATAAAAATAATTTAACGAGTTAATTTATAATCGTGTTAACTGAATTTTTACAAGACTATTTCATGTACAAAAACTGGTAACTTGTAGATGGGAATACAACTTACAAGTCCATTTTTAAGTTTAAAACGATTTGATACAAATAGGTTATTAATCGATTAGTTGTGTATCAATATACAGAACACAACGGATGTTACTAATCAACAGTCGAAATGGCTTGTTAAGTAAAGAGTGGGTAATTAAATAATAAACGATAAAGGCAAATTAATCTATGACCAGCCCATTTTCAACTGAATTGTACAGTGTACACAATGTATTATATTCTCAAATGTTGACCAATAACATATTGATAGGTTGCGCAATAAAACCAAAACCTGTTTATAAATTATTTCCTAAACAAGTTTCTATTACCTGGCTTATCAATTTTTATAATATAAAAACAAGTTTTAGTTTTGTTACTTGTTAGTTGTTACCAACAATATGAGTAACTACAAATTAATTTTAGGTATAGATATAGGTACTAGTTCTATAAAAATAAGTATAATCGATGGCAAAACCTTAGAACTGGTCGATTCAAAATCCATCTCACCCAATGCTAAAGTAAAATCAAACAATCCAAGAGGCGATGAACAAAATGTGCTTAAGATTTTCAAAGCATTACAAAAATGTATAAGCTTGTTCCCTGAAAATCTGTTAAAGCAGGTATGCTTATTTAAGATAATAGGTATACTTGCCTGTACTCCGTTTTTTAATTAATATTTTTAGTGTGTATCTTGTAATGTAAAAATTTCAAATTAATCAAAGAATGCCACATACTGTATTTAAGGTTGAAGGAATTGGTGTATGTGGCCAAATGCACGGAATAGTATTTTGGAAAAAACAGTTTATTCAAACGTTATGGGACAATCATTTTAACATAGAAAAATCTGATTTAGTTTCAAATTTATATACCTGGCAGGATGCTAGGGTAGATGCTTCATACTTAGAAAAACTGCCAAAACCTAAATCGCATTTGAATATTTATTCTGGCTATGGATGCAGTACAATATTTTGGTTAAATGAAAACCAGTGAGGTTATTAAAAAATATGTACTTTAAAATTATACATTTATTTTTGTTTTGTTTAGAATAAATGAATTAAACAAATATAAATATTGTGGAACAATTCAAGATTTAATTGTATCAATACTGTGTAATCGAGAAGATTCTATTATGTCAACTCACAATGCTGCTAGTTGGGGTTATTTTGATGTGAAAAATAATGCCTGGAATATTAATATCCTTAAAAAAGCAAATTTTCCTACAAATTTATTGCCATCTACAGTAATTCCTGGAACACTAGCTGGGAATTTGTTTAATACGATGTATGGATTACACAAAGGAATTGTAATCGGTATAAATCTTCTACAATTTATTTAATACGCATGAAATATAAGCATTTCATTTTTCATGTTAACTTTTGTTGTTTTATTAAAAAAAAAATTGTCTTGTAATTTCAAGTTTTAATTGTATTTGTATGTATACTGTTACGCAAGGAGTTGCCCTTGGTGATTTACAGTGTTCTGTGTTAGCTCATTTTCCATCATTAAAAGATGCAATTATTAATATTTCTACGTCTGCTCAAGTTGCCTACATAACCAACCATGTTGAACAAACATCTGGTAAAAAAATATTGAATTATATTGTAAATAAGCTTTCTTTAAGCTCATGCTATCAATATGTTATACAGGTTGTATTGAATATTTTCCTTACTTTGAATCATATTATTTAGCAGTAGCTGCTTCTTTAAATGGGGGAAATGCTTTGGATGTACTAGTAAAATCTATTTTTAGTTGGATAAAAGACCTTGGACTATCTGTAACAGAAGGTATGTATAAAACTAAATAATCATATAACGATTGTATAAAAACAAAATCTGTTGAATATTAGAGGATTTATGGAACCGATTGTTAAATCTTTCATCTGAAGAAAATACAACATCTCTTATTGTTAACCCGCTAATGATGGGCGAAAGACACGATCCCTCCACTTATGGGTCATTATTAAATATTACAAATAATAACTTATCTGTGGGTCAGATATATTCAGGATTTTGTAAAGGAATTGTTAATAATTTACTGAAGTAATTATTTAGATATACTACTTAATTAATTTAACTATAAATAATAAAAATTATATTTTTTTGTGTTTTTAGAATGATGCCAAAAGAAATGTTATTGAATGCTGATATTAAAAAAATTATTGGAACCGGGACAGTCATAGTTAAGAACAGCATAATAAGACATGAAATTGAAAAAAATTACCACATGCCTTTAATTGTAAAAGAAACTGGAGATGCCGCTTTTGGCGCTGCTTTATCTATGGTAAAAATAAATAAAGGATTTTTTTAATGATATCTAAATAATTAATAATTTGTTACCTAAATTATTTTCATAATATTAAAATAATAAGTTGATGTTTATTAAGACAAACAGATAATTATACACTTTTAAAATTTACATAAGCACTTCTATCTTTAAGTATAAATTTAAATTATATTATATAATTATCAAAAATTAATTTATTTTATAATAGTTACTAAATTTATAATGTAAAATCATTTACTTATTATAATATAACAATATGTATTATAACCCACATTTTATTTTATTGTATGTTTATAAAACAGTTACACATTTACTTGGATCACATAAATGAAAATCATAAATACATCACATCAAATGTTCCCAGCTCCCCATTAAGTTTTTAGTGGCTGTTAAAACGCTGAAATAAAATAAATATTATCATTTTATTTTGCAACATTTAAGTATATACATTTTGAAGATTAATTTATAATAGTTTTTTTAACATATAGATTTAAAAATAAATAGTGATGTGATGAAACGTTTAAACAACAAACCAAACCTAACTCAATACAATACAATTTCATACAATTTTTTGAACAAAACAAGATTGTTTTTATGGCATTCTAATTATTTTTAAGTTCAGGTTCAGTTCAACTTTTAGTATATATATTTTGGATCAGTTAAGACTTCAAAAGTCTTATATATAAATGTTTGATTTGGTTAGTTTTCGAACAAACTTTGATAACTAATTTCTTCACATCACTAAAAATTAAAAATATAAATACCTCATAGACTGTTATCTAAACTCATTAATTGTTCTTGCACCACAAATGACATAGTTCCAGGAGTTAAAATTCCTTTATTTAACATTTCTTCCCTAGTCTTGCCTTTAGTTTTAGGAGTTTTCAAAAAGCTACAGTCTTTATTTAGATTATTTAAAATTCCAAAAGCACCAGTCATTCTGGTATAGTTTTTTTCTTTAACAACTGTTTCTTCTTTAACTGCATCTACACCAGTTGATTTAGAAGTGACACTATTCTTTTTTTTATCCTTTATCATATTTATGATTTTGTCATGGTTTTCAGTAATATTTTTTTCAACGGTTCGAAAATGATTTTCTATTTCTAGCTCAATTTCTTTCAATCTAGATTTAAGCATATTAAAACATTCTGATTTACTTTTGTTAACATTTTCAAGTTGATCTTTTTTTAATTTTTCAATATCCTCTATCAAATCTTCTATACTTTGTGTTACAGTTTCATTCTCTAATTGAGGTATCACTTGTTTCGGCGTATCATTCAAATCTATTAGGTATGGCGTTTTGAATTCATCCGTCTTAATTTGAGTAGGTAAAGGCAAATTAATGTTTGTAGGGGTTTCACAAAATTCATCTGCATTTTTTTCTACCGATTCTAAATGGCGACTTAATAAATATTTTGATGCAGATGATAATGCATTATTAAACTGAACTTTTCCATACTTCGTACAAGGTGAATCAATCAGAGTGTTGAATAGTTCTTCAGACTGAAGTATAGGCCTATGAATTTCACATTCCTTGCGATTTTTCACCATTGATGCTTCAAGGAGACCTGTTCTATTTGGAGGGGATAATGGAATTTTATTATAATGGTTAAATACATCCATATAGTTCAAATTGTTATTTGCAGATGACGATGATCCCAAAATTCCCTCAGTATGGAGATTTTCTTGGCTTTTTGATTTAGTTGATGATTGAAAATTAATTATCTACAAAAATACCAAAAATTTAATGCAAAACTTTGTGACTTACAGTCATACGTGTTTTACCTCGTGTAAAGGGTTTAATCGTCTTCTACTCATTGCAAAAGTAGAATCATCTTCGATATTTTTTTCAAATAATGCTTTTTTTGGTCCTTTTCTATCTTCTAAACAAATTATAAGCGTATTAAATATTCAATTAAATTATGGAAAAATGTAAAATTAGTTAGATAAAAATTATATTTTTATTTTTGGTATGCTGTTTTTTTTGAAAATGCCCAAAGACATAACAATAAAATATTAGCTTATATATTTTTTTCTTTGATTAAGACAGATTATTTTAGTGGATGGCGGTACCGTTTAAAAAATATACTTGACAATAGTCTTTTTTCTTTAAGAGTTCAATGCTACTGCTTGAAATACTCATGTGCATACCTACCATTGTATAATCGACCACCCGGATATACATATGAACCCCATAGCATATACTTTTCGGTTTTTTGGGGTTGAACAAAATACTGGTTATTTTATATAATATGTTACTATTAATAAGAATATGAAAATTGTGCTCAAAATAATTAAATAAATGTATGTATTTAGGTAGATATTTAAATCAATAATATAATTAAAAATTAGTAATTGAATAAGTAATAAACTATGTATTGATTTAGTATGCTGTCGTCCGGCAACCCAAAATATGCACAGCTCGCTTAAAGTTTTTTTTAAATCAAGTATATATATATATATTCCCAAGTTAATCTACTTAAATTATCAATAACTTACCATTTTCGTTTTCTGGCGTAAGCTTCACCAAATTGTGTACCACACTGCGACGACCGACTCTTCTTTCTTTATTCATTTTTTAAAATTAATGATATTTAAAATAGTGATTAATTATGGGTAAATAATAATAAACGAACAAAGTTTATTCAACAGAATCCATATATAACCGTTGTCAAATGTCAATTGTAATTGAAAATTTACGATAGCACAGTGTTACGTACACGTCAAGCCACAAATTACAAATTAGAAGTTGAAAAATAACCGACAGACGCAGACCTCGAACGTTGGTGATGATGTTGATACCGTATTCTGTAGTCCACAACAAGGTTGGTGAAGTAAAGTGATAACAGCAGCTGTTAGCAGAGTCCTAGACATGTGTTAACAGGTCTGTGGTTATAGATATCTATAGCCGTGAATATAACAGATACGGGATAATGATTAATTATATTATTTCATATTCTAGTCTAGACTAGACTAGATTTTAGAAAACCTAACATATTAGCGGTGGTAAATGATTCCTAATATAGCAACATCTTAAGCCGGGTCCGCAGTCCACACTGCCTCGTAAAACGTTAGCGAAGTGCGAACATGTTCGCTGAAATGATCTAAAGGAAAACATCAAAGACTAATAAATTGTTCGTGCTAACGTACAATATAATATCCACACGCACAATAACCCATGTAATTGACAAACGTTTGGCGCGGTACTGTGGATCCGGCTTTACGCACAAAATACAAATATTAAACGAGCGTGGAAATCGTAAATCCTCCTATACACAAAGTCTGTGTAAATGTAAATTATAAATTGAGAATGTGTAAAATCGTTAATCGCTATTATTAACTGCTAGCTTCATACACGTATGTTTTAACCGTGTGCTATTGACACTATCAAATAGATAATGTACATTTATTATTTACAGTGTTTAAATTGTATAATAATATTATAAAGCATCAAGCACTACTGAATACACTTGATGTTTCTGTACTTTAAATTACTCCAGGTATAGTTTATAACTTAAAATCTGATAGTGAATATTTGATTGTTGTTTTTTATTAAGTTACTACCAAATGTAATTAAATATATTCATTCATCATTTCGAAAATTATTTGAAAAATTACTCGGAATTAAATCATGATTTTTTTTTTGTAAGTGCAGTGTTAAACCAGGTCAGTAAGTATTTAAAAATTGGAATAGTGAATCATCTTGTATCAATTTATTGAGTGTATCTATAGTGATACATTTGTTAGAGATTAAATTACTATCCAAAACTAACTTCAATCTGTTGACACCTTGAAGTCCACAGTCTATATGAATTAGTACTGAAGGCACTAAGAAGTTAGCTATCCACAAACTCATGTTACTATTTTCTAACTCTGTACTATGATAAAAGAACATCTTTTAAAAATTAAAAGTTCTTTTATCATACTCTGTACAATATTTTAAATCTATCAACACCTAAAAGTTTATAAGAACAAATATCTTTGTTATCTGCTACCATGTTTTCATTCTAGAAAACGGTGCATAATATATAACCTCTTAAAGAAGTTGATTTATGGTAAAAAAAATATAAGTAGAAGAATATATTATTCTGTTATACAATTAAGGCTTTAAGGTGTTATTTTCTATTTATAATAATACACATTTGTATTAAATATACTTTTTTAATATGTAGAAAAAAATGATATGTAGTACCCACAGTTCATAATGATGTGCAATTATATTGTTTTATAATTACTAGGTAACTTATATGAAAACGATGGCCAAACAATTTCTTCATGTGAAGTGTAGAAATAGTGCTTACCCTGGAACAGATGGCCAAATTATTCGAGCTTTTGTACCGGATCATCAAGTTTGTTGGACCACTTTTTTTCCATTATATAACCCAGTGACATACACTTCACCATCTGTTATTGGTAAACCATGGGCTGATTTTCATTTGGATGCAATAAATTTCAAACCAATTTGGAATATAATAGACGGTAAAATTAATAGAGTTAGTTACTCTGGCCAGTACAAAATACAAAATGGTTATCCATTAAACCCTTATGGTCGAACGGGTATCAAGGGTCGAGGTGTACTAGGACGATGGGGCCCAAATCACGCTGCCGATCCAATAGTCACTCGCTGGAAAAAGATTCATTCACAACAAATACTGCATACAGATACAGGTCAACCAGTACTTCAATTTATTGCTATACAAAGAAAAGATTCGAGAGAGTGGGCAATACCAGGTGGTATGGTTGATAGTGGTGAAGTCATAACTAGCACACTTAAAAGAGAATTTATGGAAGAAGCATTGAATTCGCTTGAAAAAACAGAAGAAAATATTGCAAAAGCTAAATCAGAAATTGAAGATATTTTTAAAAATGGAGTTGAAGTTTATAGAGGATATGTAGATGATCCCAGAAATACAGATAATTCATGGATGGAAACTGTTGCAATGCATTTTCATGATGAAAAAGGGGATCATGTTGGTAAATTAAATCTACATGCTGGAGATGATGCTATTGGAGTTAAATGGATTGACTTGAATAGAAATTTGAAGTTATTTGCCAGTCATATATCTTACTTAGAACTAGTTGCTCTAAGGTTAAATTGTCATTGGTAACAATTGTTTAAGAAATATTAACTGACAACTGTTACTATTATTTTAGTTTTATATTATTGTTAATATAAAATTTCAAAACTCGTTATAAGTATTACATTTTTATGAAAATTAATAAGTATTTTTACAATTTAATGAATAAATTAAGAAATGTGAAATGTTTTCACAGTTATATACCCCTTTAACTTCAATAACTTCTCAGCTCTGCACATCAAAGCTAATAAACTGTTTAAAAAACTACAAGTCTCACAGTAAAACAGCATTTATTAATTTATACCTAAAATAGTGCAAAGGATATGGTGAAAATAAGGAAAGATGTATAAACATGAAATATTTGTCTATATTTACCAAAAAAATATTTCAATAATTATTAACTATGCGAGAATAAATTGTTTCAATTATTAAGAGGGCATTGCACCGCCCATTTTTAAGGAGTAAAGTATAGGCAATTTTTTACAAAATCTTAATTTAAAGGTTAAACTGTGATGTGTAATTATTAGTTCAACAACTAGGACTCTATTTTGGTAGTTAATTTATTTTTTGGAGTATCACAGCATCTTTGAAAGCGATTTAAAAATGTTTTTTCATCTCTACATGTTTAAGCAGACTGAAAATAACTCGCTTAATTTTGATTTTAAAATAAAGCAACCACTATATAATTAAAAGAGAACAATATTCTGGAGGGCACTACAATGCATTTTTTTCATTATTTCAAGTATAACGCTCAATACATAGTTTAAAAATAACGACTATTTTAACATTTTTAAACGACTGTAATGCGTCAAAAAATGCGTTTTTTTTTAAAAAGCGCACAGTCTTGCGTTCCAGAATATTATTCTCTTTTAATTTTATAATAGGTGCTTTTACTCTAAAACCAAAATTAAGGGAGTTATTTTCAGTTGGCGTAAACATGTTTTTACCACTGAAAATCACCTGTGTGACGCCCTCTTAAGTTATTGAGTTGAAATCTATTAACCCATGGCAATATGCGGTCTGGAGTGCTGTCGACCAAGGGTTAAATTATAATTAGCTTGTCTTATACTACTTTGTGATTAACAAGGATATGGTTCATTTTATGCATCTCTTAGATTTATCAAGTTAAAAAATATTAATAGATAAGTTTAATAAATAAGAACTTAAGGTTGAGTATAAAATATGAACCACTTCTTAGAATTTAAATAGGAGTATAAAATAAAGTACATCACACATTTTGTTTTTAAGTTACAATTATTACAGTTTTATTTGCTCCAGACACAGATAATGTTACTTGTTTTATACAAAATCATAATAATCTGGTAACAAGTTTTGTACAAAACAAGTACAAACGGAAAATAAATATTTAATAATTAAGTAAAAAAAAAAAAAAATTCTAAAACAATCAACAAGGAATATAATAATAATAAAATATAATTATAACATAATATAGGTATGTACTATTGTAAGTGAGTTACAATATAAGTATATATTTTAGTGGGAAAATTGTTTTGCTTTTTGCTTCTATATAATAAATAACTTTACTTTAAAAGGTTATAAACAAATTTAATATGTTTCAATTTGCTAGATTTTTTGTAATGACATGTCAATAGTATCTACAAAATAAAATATAATTTGGGGAAATTTAGAATGGCAGTGTATTTGCATCCTTTTACTTTTGCACAATTATTATTTTCTAATTGACAAAAAAAAAAAAAAATCGGTAGTAGCTTTGAGCATATCAATCTGAATTTGTAACACTTGCCAACCCAAACAATCAAACTTAATTTCTTAACAGAAAAATATATAATATTTCCAATTGTTCTAATCTCAAAATCACAGAACTTAGAGGATAAAATCCTCTCATTACGCACACCCAACCAACCTTAACAAACCACTAGAATTTTCTTTTTTTAAAAATATACATTTTAAGTACGTGAAAAATCAAAGGGTTAAAACAAAATTAGAAATTTAGAAAAAATTAAAATTAAAAATTTTATTAGACTAGAAAAATGATCAGTATATAAATTGGTAGATGTAAGCCATTACATAAATCTATATAAATAAAACATTTAAATCATATGGAACACTACTCAAAATTTATTTTATAATTATTGTTTTAGCTAATTTTTTGTACTTTTAAAAGCTATGATTAAAACCTCCAAGCACTCTCGCGTAAGAGGTGTTAAAAACGCAGCATGACTGCCAACTTGATTTTTTAAGACGTGTCTGCTTGGAGGTTAAGCACTAAAAGAAATGAAAGAAAACAGTTCAAATATGCTAGTGTTAAGCCAACGACATATTATTCCAAAATTAGACTGTCAAATAAATTCAACAAAATATATAAATATAGTAAAAATATAAATTAATTTATACATATAAATGTAAATTTATATATATAAATTAACAATAACGGAATTTTGGAATGATTAATAAAAGCTAGAATAAAATAATTTAACAATTGTCAACTTGCAGGATAAAATTTAATTGAAAATGTAACAATATTTATAGTAAAATATAAAACAAAAACATCCATCTGGTATTAGAGTTACTAGAATTTCAAAAGTCTATACAAATGTTCAACAAATATTGCACTAATAGAGAATTTTTCGATAGGAGTTATTTAAAACAAGCATGAAATACTTTAGTGTTGCACAATCAATTGGTAACTCATGTGCAAAATAGAATATAATCCGATGCCACGGCAAATTCACATTCCTACTGGACGAAGTCATCCCCACCACCTTGTTATATTATCTATTCATTAGACTGGTTTAAATTATTAGAAACAATTTTCAAATTTCCTTAGTTTTTCTTTTTTAAGTGTGTGAAAAAAAAGTTAATGTATAATTTTCTTAAACTTGTTTTAATATGGAGATTTATTGTGGACTGACGTCTTCAGTAGCCACAGCCGTTGCTACATTAGTTTTTTCATTACATTCAGCCATTTTATCGCAATAATCCCTAAAATAATCACGAAAACGGGACCAAGATTTTTCAGGCACTGTAATAGCTGTTCTAAAATTTCCTTTAACCTAAAATAATTAATTGTATTATTAATTTTAAATATCTATGTTGACCAATAATCTTTTGAAAATAGGTTCAATTAAAAAAATTTAGACTTGCCGTAGTTGTTACCTCCGATATGCGCATATAAATGCCACGATTGTTTTGGCCGATATCAAAATAAAAATTCTTGTTATCAACCCTCATATGTCGACCATCAGGCAAGTCACCTTTAAATCCACCATCATCTGTTCCAAACTCATCTAAAAGATCCGTCAAGTTGTCACGGAACTCTATCATCCCTTGAGCTGGGATAGCCACTTGAGAACGCGGTCCGCCACGAGTTATAGTTTGAGAGACCTATGAAAAACAATAAAATTTAGACATTTATTTAAAAATAAAAAAAAATTAACACATACACGAAGAAATCGTCCACGAGCATTTTCTTTGAGGTCTAAATAGTAACGGCGGTTGTCCTTAATCATCATTTCGGATTTTAATTTGCCATCTTCAGGAACAGTATCTGGATTTGGTGGACCTAAATAAAAAAATTATTCATCTATCATATTACATTTTATATTAATATAAATTACGTTTACAATAATTGGCCCTGTAAAATGTATTTATTTATTGAAAAAGCCACTAAATACAATGTGTATTTTTATCTTGACCAACTAACCAAGTATTTAACTTTTAAACCTATAGAAGTAAACTTTTTAAATTGAAGTAAAATTTTTTGATCTGTAGAGCTAAGTTGACTAATAACATACAAAATAAGTTAAAAAATTAAAATTCCTTTATGGTTAAGTATTATTACTTTTTAAATAATTTACCTAGTTGTGAATAATACTCGCTGAAGGTACCAAGATGGTCTCTGAAATCAGCTGCAGTAGACAAAGCCAAAAATATCTGGCTTCTTCTGCCGTCAGCCCCAATCTAATAAAATAAACAAAAATACATAAATAACCTTACCTACATACACGCCTTTATACATGCTAATCACTATAAAAAAATATTATTTTATTAATATTTTTTTTCGGAAATAAAAAATAAAACCAAATTACTTCAGCCACTTTTATGAACTTTCCTCTTCTATTTTGCTTGACATCTAAGTAAAACCGTTTTGATTGTATTTGAAGCATTTTCGTTGCCAGCTCCTGTTCATTACCTTGCTGTGGTTGACCTATATAAATAAGTTAGTAATCAATAATTATTAAAAAAAAACTAAAAAAGCATACTACCATTGTTGAACTATAAAGTTAATTATAAAAATTATTTTTTTCTTACTAATTACAATCCCTAATTTTTTCCAATATAAAACTATTTTTATGCATTTTGCGGCTGTTTTTTTCGTCATGTTTTAGTAGGTATATCAATATTTGCTTATTATTATTATTATTATTATTATATAATTCATGAAATAGTAACGTGGGATGGTGTATCTAACAATAATCAACAATAGCGAGTACTTAAGGTGTAGTAGTACCTATAGAAAATCAAGAATGGTAACAACCCTACTGACAGGGATTAGGTCAAACAGCTCAATAAATAGGTCAGTCAGCTGATCACTACATTCCAAACATTTGGATACAGTATGATCAATTTAATAGCTTTATTTATATTATTGTACAATAATATAAAATTACTAAATAAGCACCTTTTTTAATATTTTTCGGAGCACTATTAACTTTAGAAACTTAAATGAGAAGGCCAAAATATATGTTTAATTAACTTTTTGAAAGTAAAAAAATTTGATAAAAATTTTTGAATGTTCGATAACCAGTTTTGGATGATTACTTTCTTCCGTTTAAATCTAGTTATAAAAATTTCAGGATATTTTTCATAAATAAATAATATTATTTTTCTTTAATTAAAATTGATAACACTAAGACAATTTACACTTTTAATAAGTACCTACATAGATAATATAACTATAGATAGCCGACATTAATCTAACAACTGGCATTGCTATTTTACCCGAATTTCTGGATTTTACTGTTAAAACTAATATGAAATTTAAAAAAATGCCCCAAGATCCATTTATGAATATTATCTATACCTATAGTTCATCAATGGTATCTGTAATTAATAATAGAGAAATAAAAGTTTTAATGACTGCATGTAAAATACACCTTTACTATGCCTATACTTAACTTTAAAGTCTTAAATAGTTCTACAAATACAGATAAAAAACAATAACAATTTCTTCCCTTGCTTAAGAAACAAGGCTTAAATTGTTTATTCCATCGGATGTAGCTTAGGTTGATTTTTTAAAAATCAATTTGTTAGAATTATTCGGGATTTGTTTTTTACATATTATACGATTGTTAAAAAGGTGTTTTTTCAATTCACTATGCTGTAAAATTAGACTTTTTGCAGTTAGGTCGTTGTTCTTTGAAATCCATGATATATTAATTTTAGAATTTAATAGGGGTTGTTGTACAAAAAAATTATTTTTAAGCAATTTAATTGTTTGGTTCAGAGATTTAACATGCGACTTATTATTTTTTAATTTTTTACTAATAAATTATTTTAAAGATAATTAAAAAAATTAAATAACGAAACAAACGAGTCGTCATTCTATTACTAGCTGGTACATAGTTTTAAAATAACAAAAAAAGGATTGTATTAGGCAAAAACTGGAAAATTAAATTTAACAGAAAAATCTCTTTCACAAATAGTTAATTCAACAGCTTTTATAGTGGTTTAAAGGTTTGTAATTTCGAGCTGGCTTGACAACTCATTAAAAAATATAAATTAAAAAAAACAATCATATATATATATATATATATTAGTTAATAAAAAGATATGTGATAACGATCTTTCTTATATTATAATATATATTTTCATATTTTAATTAATAATTCTTACCAGAGTCGGAACCCGTGGCTTCATTTGACACCTGTCCTAAAATAAAATAAAAAACAAATTAAATTAAATTTTATTGCACAGTTGAAAGGAAATATATTTTAAATGTTAACAAGTACATCAGACTACCTCTTCTACGACTATTTCGTTCGTCATTATATAGTATGCTATTCATATTTAGTTTCGAGTTCACAACTATTATCGATTGCTGCGAATTTTTTTTGGTCAATTTTATTTCATATAAATGACAATCATATGCAAATTGAACTACAGAAGCGATGCCTATTCGAATTTGTCAGATTAAGCATATTAGGTGAACCACTGAATCATAAAAGGGAGCAAATCACAAATAGGTAAACGCGTACTCGACAAAAATCCCATCGGCCGGCTGATCGAGGTCGGCGGCCCCTGCTTGGGGTCGCCATCTTGAAAATGCGAATTTGTTATCTCCCACAAGGGGCGACATTATATGAACGCGCGTTAACTGACGATACGTTGACTATTCGACTTTCGGTCGGGATTATTAATGTAACAATTCCGTTAATGATTAGTATTGTTAAATACTTACTTTGGCTCTGAGGCTGCTCATCGCCGCTTTCTCGGTCCGACATTATCCGACAACACACAATCAAACGAGCCGCCGCCACTCTTGTCCCCCGCTGCCGGCTGAACGATTTTTTTAGCTTTCCGCTCTTGCTCAAGCTTTTCCTGCTCTCGTACCCTCTTTGTCCCACGCACACGCGCACACTCTCGTTCTCTGTCCAATCCAGTAGGTTCGTTCTCTATCTGACATTTCCTCTCTCTCTCTTGCTCTTCCTTTTTACACTCCGGAAAATGCCTTGTACGGATAATCAGCTGATGGCGGGAGGAGCCAACGTTGAACGTTGTCTATTGGAGTGTTATGTATATTATGAACACTAAAATGAATGTGTATATGCTGCCATCTGTTGGAATTGATTTCCTTTCTTTTAATTTATTGACGCCATATAATTTACATACTAAGGAGTAAGAAATAGGCAATTTACTTGAATTCAATACTTGGCTAGAAGCCGCAAGTTAATAAATAATAATATATTTTGTAATCACACAAATCACTTTTGAGCAGTTATACTACGATATTATAAATCTCTATTACACCATTTATCATGACATAATAACTTTTTCAATATCCAGGTGTAATAATAGGATATAGAATAATAGGTCCAAAGATAGGATGAGTGAACCTAATAATAATTTTTGAATGTGCATCAATAGACTATAATGAGACATAATAGAGGCAGTGGAACGGTGACTATCGCTATGAAGATAGGCTCTATAATGAGGTATACTCATATATCTATATTCTAAACGCCTTCTTAATATATGAAATACTTATAGACATTTTTTAAATATATTTTATTTTTATAATACTATTTTATAGAATAGGTACAGCCTAACAGTTAAGTACATAAACTTATTTCACTGCATTGTTTATTTTGTTATTTTAATATAAATAATAAATTATAGACAATACGGTTGCCATGTGTAGTTATTACCATACTAACATTCTTGTTAAATATCAATATAATTATAGTCCCTGGAAATAATTAAGCAATAGGTACATTATAATTAAATAAAATGTATACCTATCTATTTCAATGATTTTAGTATTAGTATAGGTATTTAGAGTTTAGTTTAATTATTGTAATACAAGTGGTTAAGTGTTGAATATCTTTATACAATGAATAGAAATGTATTATGTATGGTTAAATTAATTGACAATATAGAATCAAGAATCGAATCATTGAAAAAAATGTTGACTCAAGTTGAAGAAAAAAATGTTATTAATACATCTGATCTATCAATAAGTAAAGATATTCATGCTTACATAGAACAGGTGCTAGAAGATTACTATACTATGCTAAATGTTTACAATGATAATATACCAATAATCGACGTTAAAAATGCTGCGACTAATTTAATGAAAGGTAATAAAAATTACGTTTTTTTGAAAAAAAATATGAATAGGTGTATATAGTACATTATAGTTATACGTAAACATACGCAGATACGAATAATTCAAAAATAATTAGAACATTAAACAACCATGAGTTATATAATGAAGAAATAGTAAAATTTGAAACTAAAGTAGACTTGCACACAGATAATATAATAAATTTGGTTGAACTAACAACAGATAAATTAATAAAATACCAAGGTGAATAGTAAGTAAATAAAATTCACATTTCACATAGACTTTAATCAGCCATTTATTGTGGAAGCTCCATTTGATTAGCTAATTAGTAATTTCACTAATTGTAATTTTATTTATAAATAAAATATTTAAGCTATATATGTGATTCACAAATCGAAAGTTTATACAAAGAAATTAATTCACAAAAGGAAATGGTAAATAAAGAACTAGATATATTTAATAATACTGAAAATAAGAGAACGTTTCAATTGGATGAATGGAGAATAAGTTTAAAGCAAAAGAACGAAAAGAATCGTTCATTAATTAATGAAGCTCAAAAACTGCTGCTTAACTACAGTCATTCTATGTAAGTTATCATAATAATTACCGTATAATACTAGAACTCGTATATTTTAGGTTAAAATTAAAATATATACCTATACCTATTATAACTATTACGAAAGTTATTTTTGTTAGATTTGATTTGATTAGACATTTTAGCCGTGAATTAGATACAAATAAAAAATATTTAGGTTATGACTTAGTAGTAATACTGAGTATAATGGTTCAACCAGCGAAGTAGGTATGTAAGTTAAACTTCAAGGCTGATTAGTGAGTAGTGACCTGGCAATGAAAAATACAAAATGAAATAGAAAAAATTAATATAAAAGGAGGAGATTACAATATATAATAGTGTGAAGACTATATTATGGCGTCGAGACTTGATTAACTATTATCATTTTTCAAACACATTTTCAATTTACGGCCGAAGAACTCTACATTACCCACTTAATAAAATTCAAAATTTGAATGATACAGAAAAGAGTTTTAAAAAATACACGCCTAAAACTTATAAGTACCCTGTACTATGTATAACTATATTGTTTATGGAAAAATATAGGTCCACGATAAAAACAAATACCGAACAAATTGTTAGCACAATTAAAAAAAAAATGGGACTTCAATTTAAATGTTGCGAATTAGAAGACCTTATCACGCGGGAGGGACAACGAACATTAAAATGTCATAGAACCGTATTGGACTACATTGAAAAAAATGAACGGAAATTTGATTTCAACAAACAAATCGTAATGAATGCAAAACATTTTAATGCCTTAATAGATAATAACTCGGAAGCTATCAAATGTAGTATACCAAAAATGATGGACAATTTATTTAGGCTACATACAAAGGTTCTTAATGTAAATTATAAAATTGAAGAAAAGTTTTGGCACTTAAATACATTAAACACTAAGTGTTTAGCTGATGAACAACTGCTTACTAAAAGGTTCTTATTTTGAATAATACTTTGTTTATTTAGAGGCGGAATTATAGATTTTACATACATAAGCAAATAATATTTGTCCCGCCATATTTTAAGTATAAATCATTGTTTGTAAAATAAAATTATAAACACTCAAGCAAAAAAGTTTGCAGATACATAAATACTACCGATGTAGGCTACTAAGTTGCTTGGTGTCTGCCTATAAATTCGCCACTGACAGTTTATTATACGTATTTTTAAATAAATAGGTATAGGTATCTTTTTAAAGTTATAAAAACCTTGTATACCTCGTAGTGAAAAAATATAAATAAAACCTTGTTTTTACAGTCAAGGTTATCATTCTTACATTATAAGTGATCTTAAAGAAATTGAGAAAAATATTTTGAATAAACAACAACAGATTGAAAATGAAAAATCTAACATTCAACACCTTCAAGACAATCTCAATGATAAAACTAGAGCTGTGAAAAACGTACAACATTTAATGCAAAGCAAAGAATTGGAATTAAAGGTTTATTAAATATTAAATTTACTTAAAAGTTGTGTAATAAACAATACTAATTCCTCGAGTTGTACTTTGTGATCTTATTAAGTTAATTCGGAATTATTTGCGATCAAATGTTCTTTTAAAACTTATTCATCTTATAATTTAAAATTTGACATGTACTAAGAAGTACAAAAATAAATCACAGTTCACACACGTACAAAATTTGTATTCGAATCCGAAACTAGTTGTTTTTAATAATTTTAAAGCTTGTAACTATAATACTAAAATATGTGTATGCAACAAATATATACACTTTTCAGGAAGTTAAATTAAAGCACGATAGAGAGTTAAAATACTTAGAAGAAATGAAGTTAACTGTACAAAAACAAAAGGATAAATTACAAATTTTAAATTATATAGAAAATCACCAAATTAAAGAGAAAAAAGAAAAAAAGAAATTTTATCAAAGCCATGTGGTACTACCACTAAATTCCAAGTAAACACAGCCATTTTGCTATATTTTTAAACTTGATTAGTTTAATGATATTACGAGTATCAATAATTGTATAATACAATTTTATAATCAAATATTATTAAGGATGTTTTAATTTATATGAAATAAGAACAAATGAATATGCTTTCTTTTTACCCTTCTATTTAGTATGCAAAGTTGTAATGATCCAGCTTGGCTTGCTGGTTAGGCTAGGAGAAGCGACTACTGGTAAGATTAAAGTAGGTGGATCTTACCGGAAACAGTTGTCTAGCGCCTAGCAAGCAGGCAAGTTACATTACAATATACAGAATGTTCGGATTTCATGTAACAACAAACACCTGATTTTTGATGATATACTTACATTTTGAAAAAAAGACTGATGTAAAACATTACATTTTTTTTCTAACAATTATATTTTAAAGTTTTTGTATTTTTTTAGTCAGCATCTAAGTCTGAGATGGGTAACTTTTGAAACTTAAACGATAATGTATACATTTAATTCGTTTTTATAATTAAGAATAATTTGCTAAATATTTTGACTGGTCGATAACCAATTTTGAAGTATTACTTTTTAAGTTATTAGAGCTTAATATTTAGGATGGAAGAAAGAGTGGAGTAAAACAGTATTATATCTGAGTATATTTGAGTAATATTTAAGTTTCCGCTACCCTAAATCTGGCTTCTGATTGAAAAAAAAATACAAAACTTAAAATTATTATTGTTTGATAAAAACTTTAAATATTTCAAATCAGTTTTTCAAAGTTTTAGTGTATCATCAAAAAATAAAAAAAATGTATATTTTATGGTTTTTGAGTAGGTACTATATGTTTAACTAATCACATATCACTATTATAGTATTATATCTTACATTTGTATTGTAATTTACAGATTGACAGAACTGAATAAACGTATAAAATATGATGTAGAAAATATGTTAAAAAATAATCTGTTACATATTAAACAATTGGACTTTGAATCCCAACAAAAACTAGATAATGCTATATCTAACAATTTAAAAATGGATGCAAGTGTAAACATAAACATTTTTTTTTTGCTATTTATAATAGTTGCTAATATATTTTTAGGAGACAGTAAACATGTTAAATACAAAGTTATCACAATTTCAAGGAAAATTCCAAAATATTCAATCGAATGTGTTTGATAAATTGGAAACAAATATTAAAAAAATCGAACAATTTATAAATATTTTCTTATTTATTATTAATTACATGTAAGAATACTAATTGCGTATATCTGTATAAATTATACCTACGTATACCTACGTGCTGTGTATAATTTGGATCATAGAAACACTTAACACTTGTATTCTTACGAGAATGTATTTTAGTGAGACTACGGATAAAAACATAGAAGCACGACAAAAATCTCACAAGTTGGAGTGTGAAATATTCCAAAAACAATATGAAGTTAAAAAAAAAAAAGAAAAATTTGAAAAAGATCAGAATGAAGTAATGCAAGAATTTAAAGAATTGAAAAAGATTGTGCGTCAAGAAGTATTACGTAACAAAGAACTTACAAAGCTGTATAATTCTCTATATTAGTCAATAAAAAATAAATTGTATTATTGTAGAATAGTCATTTATTTTAAACTATAAATAAATTATGCTTATGGAAACGCTAAAACTTTCATGCATGAAATGTATTGAGCTATTAGCTTGATAATTTTTTGATCTACTTTTGTTGTCATTTGTTAGCTGACGTTTTGGAACCATTGCAGGATTTGCAGGGTGACATGTCTCTAAAGGTGGATTTTGTAATGGGTTCAAAACATCAGCTAACAATTTTTGACAACATGAATACCGTAACATAGGGTAACATTGTCCCATTGTTTTGTTGCTATCTGGTAAAAAATGAATGCCAATTGCATGATAAAAATGTTAAATTAAGCACAATCATTTATAATGTTATTTTTGTATTTTAAATATTATGAAACATTTTTAACAATTGCTATTATAATCAGCATCTAAAGAAAAATTATAACAACGGGTAATGTTACCCCATAGAAAAGAGATTAATCAGTGTTACCCTTAATGACCAAAGTTACCCCATGTATTATCAATATATTCGTACCGTAGGCCCACCCCTACCATTTCATGGATAAAACCCATAGACCTTTTAATATTATAGGTCTATGGTAAAACCAGAGTCTATGAGTAGTTTGGTAATTTGTGACCAAGGTGGGTAAGTGAGTTTATGTATTCACCTTAGTGTTGGCTCATAATCACTGAACCTTACCATAAATTATATCTTACGCCAAATCACTTACAAATTGTAAATGTTCTAAGCACTGAACACCGAATCCATAGATTATCGTACACGCGTGTGTAAGTAGTAGGTGCATATTTAGTGTTAGAGATCAGGCTCTCGGATAAAAATTGACATGGGGAAGATACTTATCATACACAAACGCGGCGGCCATCTTCTTAAGATTACTCCACTATAATGTTATATCAAGACCAAGGTGTATCATCCACCTTGATCTAGACATTATTATTATTTGTTGTGTATAGATATAACATGCGTATAATACTAAATAATCCTTCATAAAATGACCGGTACTTTTTTGTTTACATTGAAAATGACCCTTCTGATTTCATCTATTCTGTGTCAAGTTCAAGAAGAGCAATCTGTCTCCATCAATTCTAATAATTGAAAAATGTTCAGATAAATAGCGTGCTAAAAAACGTGAAGAACTCAATATCAACTTTTTGGTACTTGGCAGTTGGTACGTTATTGATTTCAAGTCCTCAACTGCAGTGCAGTTTTTGATACGGTTATATTGTATGATCTATATACGATAATACGTTAATTGTGTGTTTTCTTTATGTTGGTATATATTGTATTTGTTATCACTGATAAAAAAATTAAAACGGTTGCCGTTAAATGGGTTTTTTGTTTAGGTAACTTGGCACTTGCTAAATGCTAATAGAGTGCTGGTGCTGGACGTTGGTCAGTGGTCACTGGGACTGGAATTTCGGAACTAGTTACTCGTCTAAATTTTAATTCTAAAACTAAATTCTAAATATTCGTAAAACTAGAAAGTTGTTAAGTGCAATTAAGACATGAAGTAAGATTAATGTTAAAAGTAGATTCGTGACTTAAACTATAACCGATTTGAATAAGTATTTTGTTAAACAACTAACAATCATAACTCAAGATTAAGTATGTTTAATTTATGCTATAGATTAAATGCTAACTTATTATTTTAACAATCAAATTTCATCAGGTTATTATTCAACGTTTTTATATTGTTTAAATATCTTATAAAACATTTCTGAAACTAAAGTAAAGATATAAAATCTACTTGAACCCTAAACCATGAAAATTATACACTTCTTGCGTACACGTGTTACGACAACGATGTTGTCATCTTCAGCGCTAACAACAGACAGACAGGAGTCTGTTGTTAGCGCTGAAGATGACAACATCGTTGTCGTAACACGTGTACGCAAGAAGTGTATAATTTTTATGGTTTAGGGTTCAAGTAGATTTTATATCTACTATATATTTAACCATAAGTTTGCTTAACAGTTTTTTCTAGATTTCTGAAACTGTCTTGAGAGATGGATCCTGTTCCTAAGGCTTCTTCTACAGTGCTTAAACCCCAACGTAATCGGTAAGAAGAAAAGTAAACAATTTTTTTGTTTACAATAATACCTATTATTTTTTTTATATTAAAGATTATTAAAAAGTATATTATAATCGTATCATCTATACTCAATTTACTTTAAGAAGAACTTTACTCAGCGGCCAACTTGTATCCTGAGTAGAGAGATTGTGGCCTATCCGCATGGGTGAGGTTCCTTCTTGAAGTGAATAGAGTATGTTTCAGAATAGAGTTATGTTTTTTAGTTATAGTGGTTTATACATATTTAAAAACTCCTATACTTAACATTGTGATATTAGTAAAAAAGAGCTGATATGTTTTGAACTTAATTATTAATATCACATGTTTAATTATTTAATTAACATGTTAATTTACATAACAAATTATGAGCATTAGCATTGATTTTTGCACACATGGGTGTACAGAAAAATGGTTTAGGTGAGCGTGGCATGAGTTCTATTATCCGTTCGCCTAAACTATGATTAAGTAATAATGACATTTTTTATTATTACTTTCAAACTATTAACATTCAGTTTTTATTTTAAAAATCTACTCTATAAAGAAATATTATATTTACAGTCTTTTAGAAAACTATAATATAAGTCAGAATGCAAACGATACTTTTGGAACAATGTATTTGGATGAACTAACTGGTAATGATTTGATAAAAAAATCCTTAACTGATGAAACAAATAGAAAAAATTCTTTAAAAATGGATAGCTTGTATTCTTCACTAAGTGGACAGTCCTCTTTGGGCATTTTTGAACTCGATAATATGTCTGGTAAGTCAAATATAAATTTCTTCAATAAAATTCTAATTATTTATGTTTAACTATAATAATGTAATATATTTTGAAGATATCGTGCAAAATTTTAAAAAAGAAGACTATCCACATAATATTGAGTCTGAACAACCTACTCTACAACGTCGGTCGAGTCAAAACTTACAAGCTAGGTTGACACTTGCTAGATCAAGCAAGATAAACAGTATTGGTAAAATATTCTTGTACCTAACATTTAATTAATATGTTTTTGTAATTGTTATTTTTTTAATTTGTTTTTTAAAAACCAGCCAATGACAAAAGTTCACGTCTATCACTGTCAAATAAGACTAATGTATTTAAAGATATGTAAGTTACTAATTTAATGATATTGAATTTTTAATTAAAAATATTTATACATTTATAAACATAAAATTTGTATGCAATTAATTTAGGTCAATGCAAGGTATTAATAATTATAGCAGTTCATTCTCAAGTGATGACTTCATACCAGGTAGTGAATTTAAAGAAAATTTAGCTGAAATTGAAGAAGTTAATCGAAAAGAGTATGGGTCATTATCTGAGAGCCGGTTCAATTTTACATTAGAAGGAGAGATGTATGTCACAGATAGTTTTTTACATTATACATTTTGAGTAGCAATTGAAAAAAAAAATTGTGATCTGTTAATGTTTAGGCAATCACTTGAGAATGGATCATTCGCTGCTAAATATTTTGCTGCTAAAAGTGTTCCAGTAGAAGAATTGTCAGCAATTTTTCCAAAAAAAAAATAACTAATGAGTCTTTTTCTAATGGATTACAACAAGAACAACATACATTTTTAAAAAACAATACTCAAAATAAAAGTCATAATGGTAACAATTAGTCTTTAAATAAAATTGTTTCTACTCTAAAGAAACAAAAAAAAATAGTTACTATGAATTTTAGATTTTGTTCTGTTATTACATTTTTTTAAGCCCTATTATTAAAAAATAAAATGTCTGGATAAATTATACAACTGCACCATACGTGACAAATTTAATTGTTGTACAAGTGAATATAATTGTTTAAATGATTTTAATTTAGAACAAATATCTATGGGATATAAAACCATGTCTTCAGTAACATCATGGACTGATACCCACGTATCTCGTAATTTTATGAATATGACAAGCCTATCTGAAATATCAGAAATGTTAAGTAACAAAATAGACGATGAAAAAAAAATGAATCTAACCAAGGCACTATTAGCAGGAGGTAATTACAGAATTATAACATACAATTCTTTGCTAACAAGCTATCTAAAAATAAATAAAGTATGAGGCATATTGTATAATTTTTAAATGTGTTACTTTTATGTACAGTCAAATGTATTTACTAATTGGTTGAAGCTTATATGGGGTTTACTTTTATTAAATATGCTTTTGCCTTTTTAGTTTACAAAGAAATGTTTAAAATATAGATTTATTTATTATTTTGCTTGATACTTATGCTTGTAGTTTTGTAATATTTATATTAATTTAAGTGTAATACATTAGTTTAACCTATGTATTCTGTTGTAAAAGACTTGTAGATGGTGTTTGTAAAAATAGTTTCCATGCTGTGTATATTATACAGAGAGCTTAATATATATTATAGTAGTTGTGGATCGTATTCTGTTGTAAATGTGTGAGTTTGCGATTAAACATTAGGGTATATTATTCATGTATGTTTGATGGTCATAAGTACTCATAATAATGAAAAATAATTATTTTTGAAAACAATTTTAATGCAATTATTTATAAACAAACCAAGATGATTCATACATATTTTAGTAATACTATTTTTGAATATCATGCAAAGAAAATTTCAGTGTTTTCAAAGTCAACAGTTTTGTTTTTAGCTTACATTTTTTTTTCAAGCAATTTATGTGTTACTTTATAGGGATTTTAAATTGTATCACTTTTGTTTTTTTTTGTGTATTACCATTGATTTTGTTATTTACAGATAAGTCATCCTATTGTTAAATATAGTAGTGCCTAGCAAGTATTTATGTGAGATAAATGAGAAATGATAAATGAGATTTATGTGAGATGTAGGTGTACTTACATAATATTTTTTACACTAAATTCTGTAATTTTTAATAATAATATAGCTTATATGTATGTTATAAAATCGGTGGTATTACATTACTTGTAAATTATTTTTAAATTATAACACAATATTGAATGAATTTAAAGTTAAATAATTTGTATTATTTATTAAAATCGTAGATTCTCGCGAAAATACACAAATGGACAAATCTATTAGATTACCTCAGAGACGACTTTCTACTTCCACTAGATTTTCTAATATATCACAAAATCTTGAGCATGCAGATCTATGTAAACGTTGATATTTTTTATAAAATATGTTAATGCATGTTTTTATAGTTGTCTAACTTCTTAATTATTTTATATAGCTTTTTCTACATTGGAACACAGTAGATTTGGTTCTCCTGAAAAAAAGTTTTCCAGAATGGAAAATAATATAGTTGATAGTCCTCTTAAATATCAGAAGAATTTAGTGCCATCCAAACTGGGTTTCTTTGATTCTCATAGAGACATTGAAAATCATGACTTGTATAATGATAATGGTCATAGTAACAAAAAAAAATCAACGAAAAATATTGTTGACAGTTTGGGTTGTATTGAAAATACTAGTATATCTTATACTTCAAGCATATATAATGAGTAAGTCAAATTTTAAATTTTCATTATAATTAGGATCATTCTAAAATTATGTTTCTAGCGAGGAAAAGAAAATTATTAAGAATGAATGTTGTCGTTTTACTTTATCACCTATAAGTGGATTTTTTGAAGACTGCGCTTATAAACCAAAAATATTTGAAAATTCAGTCGATCTTACAAAGTTTTCAGTTTTAAGTACTAGTAATGAAGAATACAAAGATAATATTTCTTTAAATAAGTCTGCAAATATATCAAAAATAGTTCATTGTTATGAGGCATTATATCAAGAGAAATGTAATAAAACAAATCAACAAGATTTTAGTAAGTTATTATTTTATTAATAAGTTAGAACTAAAAGGAGAGCGAGCAGCCAGAGTTGGTAACATAACATAATGCGCTCATTGTCACCGGTTTGACGCTCGTTTACGGGTTAGCTCTGTTTGATAGGTTAAAACTGTTCAGTAGAAATTAGTAATGGAAATCCGAAAATCCGGATTTTTTTTTAAAAAAAGCCACTTGAAAGTCTTTTAATTATTAAATACTATTACAATGTAAAAATGTGTACTTAAGTGAAATTTATTGATAAAAATGTAAAAAAAAAACTCGTAAATTTGTCTAAAAATGCTTTCGGATTTTAACAAATCCGAAATTCAAAAGCAGTTAATTCTTTTTGGAGTTTTGTTTTATTTTTACATATTTATCAAACAAACTTTACTTAGGTACACAGCTTTATATTGTAAAGTTATTTAACACTTATATGATTTTTAAGTAGCTTAAATAGCGTTTTTTTTTTTTGTAAAAATCTGGATTTTCGGATTTCCATCACTAGTACAAAGCAACTACCATCTGGTGATGGAATAATCCTTTTCATATAGCATGTATATTATGTAACTACCTTAGGGGAGGTGTTAAAGATGTAATGGGACGCATAAGTTAAATTCAATTAATATTGGCAAAAATAAAGTGATTGCTAAAACTACTTTTAAAAAATAATATAAAAAAAAAAAAAAATAGTTTTACACTGGAGGGCTTATATACATTCAGGACAGGTAATTTTTCATTTTTTTCAACTATCATATTTCTTAAATAACAATTCTTACAATAACTGTTATTATATATTTGATAATTTTTAAACTACGAAAAAGAACTACTCTTTAGCAAAACTTGATTAGTTTTTTACGATTACAAGAAATAAGCTAATTTATATGAAGTATCATAACATACACTTTTTTATAAGACGAAGCATGCTACTTTTTAATGGACGTACATATTGAGTTAATTGACTCAAAAACTACTACTAATGAGAGATTAAATTGTACAAATATAGTAATTTTTAAAAACCAAATAAAAGAATATTTTTTTCAATTTATTGTTAAAATTAAACGATTTATAATTTAAAAATTGTTGAAAATGAACAATTCATTGAACATTATTATTATATAATACATTAGTTATAGTAACATCATTACAATATAATAAATTATTAATTATTATTTTAAGATGTGATTTCCAATGTTCTTGATATTGGTGATGTATGTATTGGCACATATTCTCAAGCTGTAATAACATTAGAAAATAGATTATCCAGAAATACAAGCTACACACTACATTTGATGGAAGTATTAGTTAATAGTCCAATAAATTCTTCATTTTTAGAAAATGAAATGACTAATACAAATACAAAAATTGCTACTGTTCTGTGTTCAAAAAAAACTATTATCATTTCTTCATTATCAGAAGCTCAATTTATAGTATGTATAAATACAATCAATATTAATTTTCAATATTAACAAATTGTATATTATAAATGTAGATAGGTGTTATTCCTTTGGTGTCTGGAAAAATAAATGTTAAAGTAAAACTTATTAGTGAGGATAATTCACAAGAAATCTATAGAAATTTACAAATTCAGTCAGCAGAACCTCAAGTATGTTTTTAAAACTAAAAAAATTTGGTGTATTAAAAATTATAATTTATGAATTAATTCTAAAATCCCATTAGGTATCATGGTTGAACAATTATTATGGTTCCATAGACTTTGGGATGGTACCAGAAATGTCTAAAAAGTCTGTATCTATTGAACTGATGAATAACGGAAAGTACCAAGTCCCAATCAAATTTATTCTTAGCCAGGTAAGTGTAAGAAATAAAATAATATGTTTGTAATAGAGCTGAGACCTCGAATCGAATTTTTCTATTATTCGAATTATTCGAATAATCGAATAATACTATTCGTATAAAAATAATTCAAATATTCGAATAGTTATCAAATAATTCGAATAGTAAAAATAGATCAAGAACACCTTAGTTGTCTCTTAATTATTATTTTTTTTTAATCTAATGAATCCTCCAAAGAAAATGATAAAATATTCGAAAATCAGATCGAATATTCGAATAACCCATCGAATATTTGAATAAAAAATTTGAATATTCGTGCGAATAAAGTATTCGAATATTCAAATTTTTTTTATTCGAATAGTCCCACCACTAGTTTGTAAGTACTTTGTATGTAGACTTCCTCATAAATTATTGATATATTTTAACCTCCATTTATTTTTCATAATTATGAACGTTATTTAATCACATTTTTAGAGAATCTAATTAAGAAAACTATTCATGTTGATCATTTTTAAACTTTTGGATTGTTTTCCTATAATTGTTCTTAGGTAAACAAGAGCATTTATATATATTAAAAAAAAAAAATGATAATAATTAACCATTGATTTTTATATTATAATAATGGTAACATAGCTTTATTTTTATTTTCATCTATAATAAAAAATAAAATATATTTTACTTTCATTTTGTACAATTTATACACAAAAATCATATTATAATGTATTCATCCAACATAACTATAATTACATGTGTATAATGTATTATACGAGTAGGTTAGGTCTTAGCTTTCACTTACTTTCCTGTAATCTTGTTCATCCTTGTCAATTTTAAACATACGTCAGGTAAATAATCCAAGTATGTAACTAAATTATTATTAAAATAAATATTTTATTTAGGAGGACTGCAATGATGTTATTCAAGCCAAGGCTATCATTGAGCCATCTGAATTATGGCAGTGCAATGTAAATTTTATAACGTCTGATTTTTCATTTACAAACAATACAACAAAATTAATCACAAGTCGGCTTAGAGTCGTATTAGACTCTGTGGAAGAATTATCAAAAAATTATTCTCCATTGCTATATTCTTCCAATCTTTCTGGCCGTATGGGCTTGACATCTATATCATTTGATCAGAATCCGTTGATCTTAAAAAAGCAAGGACAAACTACATTTAGAGGTGTTGTAGAAGTACAAAATAACAGTGTTCAGGCAATCAATGTGTTGGTGAAGAAAAGTAAAGAAAAATGTTCAGACCTAATTGTCCAACCAAATAAACTAGAATTAACTGTAAACAAAAAAGGAAAAATACATATTTTCTGTAAATTTTCGAAACTACCCTACAATCATATGTAAGTTTGGTTATTTTTATAATTTTTTGTAATATTGGTATACATTATTGTTATGTTATATTGTAATGTACAGTACGTCCCGTGACTTTCAAAGTAATTCAAATTTTAATTCAAGTATAACATATTATTAGTGGATATTTTTATTTTAAACATCTTATTAAATTTTACTTGAGCCAAATATTTCGCCATTTAAATTTTTGTTTTAAGGTGTTGGTTATTACAGGAAGGTGAGACATGCTGTAAATCAAAGAAGAGAGGGAACTTAAGTAATAAAAAATGTATTTATAGTATGTGAATCATATATAGGAAAGCAAGGATAGAGATATAAAATAAATATATTGGAAATAAATGTTGGCTTAGAAATGATAGTATGAAAGTTATTTAAAAACAATAATACTAGCATCTGTCCCGTGTCGGTATATAGAGCTGAAATTTTTTTCAGTGGGCCACCTATAATATTAGTTAGAAAAGTATATGAAAATATAGTTTAGGAGGTGAACTCAGAAGTTAGGACTTATTGTTAGTGAAACTACTGAGAAAGTGAAGAAAAGGAATTTATGGAGTTAATATTGACTGTTTCTGGCTACTTTGCGTAAGCACAATTTTATGCATTTTTCAGGAGAGCTGAGAATTTAAAAATTGCTTAAAAATATAAGTTGCTTGTTGCTTACGAAAAAGAAAACCTTGATAAACTAAATTATTATTATCATATTTTTAATGGGATCGGCTCATTCGAAGCATATTTGTGTCACTTTTGCTTCATCTGCAAAAAAATCAAGTTTTGTAAAAGTGTCTTTTACGCCAATTAGCTTGTAAACAGTTGATATGTTATATCACGGAAATAAGCTTAATTGACCTCTAAGTAGCCAAAAAGAAATAAAAGAAAAATTTAGTGAAAATTATTAATTAAATAATTATAAATAGTTTTAAGTAGAGACTTTCATTTTTTAACAGTTTATCATTTTTAAAAAAATTTTTCATGTCAAGTGAGGAAGATTTACTATTTCAAGTTGAGTCCTCAAAAAAACAATTTGTTTTACACATCAAAATAGAACAAAACGAACCTAGTTTTAATATTCGTAAGTTACAGTAGTTTATTATTTAGAAAAAATTATTTTATTAGTGATGCAAAATAAACTCTTTTCCTGGATCGTTCTTATCCATCATTCTTATTCTCATCGTTTAATCTTAAGTGATTCCCTATTAAAAAATGTGGAAAATATAAAATTATATTTTCCCCATTAAGTAAACACGTGAAAAATAAATTTTTCAAACAAATTTTAATAACCAACATTAATATTTTTTAGATTTAGAAAAAGAAATCTCCAAAATTCATATCCCTACCTCAGTTTTAAGTACTTCCTCATAAATTTATTTTTGCATTTGATTAACATGGGAACTTATTATTTTTCTATAAAAAAAATTCTTACGGATACTAATCAACATTTTTTTCTTTTTAAAAAAAAAAAACATTCTTATTTTCAATAAAATGACACTTTAAAATATTTGTTATGATACGTTTTCTTATATCAAGTTATCAGTTTCAATGGGCTATAAATTGATTAAAACAATTTTTATCGTGAAATATCAAGAGTAATTTCGAAAAAGTAGCTAGCTATAAGTCGAAATATTTTTAATGAAAAATTCTTTTGTTAATCAAATGCAAACATAAATAGCATTAATGGGGGGGGGGGGGTGGTTAAGTAAAAAAAAATTATGTATATATATATATTCGGTATAGTTTATGTAAATGTATATTATTTAAAAGTATATTAATAATGTTACTAAACATCACATTATCTTTTAGCGGAACTTTCTCTATCAAATGTTCCATCTTCTCGTCCTATATCTCCATGGAGTACAAGTTCATCTAGTGCGAGTATGTATATTATATTATATCAGTGATATATCTTAATCTAAACTTTGTTTTTGGTTATTAGTTGGTCAACTAGAATTAGAATCTACATGTTCGAGTCTTATTTGGGGTAGTGTGCCTCCTAATACAAAATCTGTACAAACGTTTACATTACGTAATCGTGGGGCACACAAGGAAAAGTTACGTTTGTTTATTAAGGACAACAAAAACTGTTTTAAAGTAATTATTGGATATGCAATTTTTATAGTACTCTTATTATATTTATAGTATTTGTATAACATAATATTTTTTTTAATATTGAAATAAATTATAATTACATTTTACATAAAAATTGCTAATACATTATATTAAAAAACATTATGGCGACTTGTAGCTAATATCATCTGGCGAAAACCAAGTATCAGAAATTAAATTATTGTTGGAATCCATGGAAAGTCAAAAAATTAGCGTGGTACTTGTATCTACTTCAAATGAAGGTGAAGCTTTTGGGCAAGTTGTTGTACATAGACAACATGGTAGTGATTGTGATAAACGTGTAGTTAGTATATTTAACTAATTATTATTAGTAAACATTATATGAGACTTAAGTTAATGTTTGCTTGTCTATTTAGATCCCTTTGTATGGGTATTGTGGATATTCTGATATTATTGTCCAAGGTGTATTTGAAGATACTATGGGACATATGTGGCTCAATCCTAACCCACAACTCCTTTCAGCTCAATTTACTCTAACAAACTCGGGAAATACCACTGCATTTGTAAAAATTATTCAGGGTAAAATATTTTATCGTATAATGTCTTTAATGTTTATAAATTTTATAATAAAATTGAAAAAAAAAAATTTCAGGAAGTTCAGTGGAAGATGTAATTCAGCCAAATGAGTTTATGTTAAAAAAAGGTGAAACTACTACTATACATATTTCAATAGTAATGAATCCAGAAAGGCTTGAAATTTTGCTCGATCATGACGATAATTCAAAAATTATAAATATTAACAACTTGTCTCTTGTTTATGGAGATGAAGTATCTCGTATTCGAATATCAAGGTTAGTGTAAACGTCATCATATTTAGTGGATTATGTTCATTATTAATCTAATTTTTTTCATATTCTTAACATTGATGTAAAACTGATGTCTAGGCTGGGATTACCTTTCGCATTACTTCCTTCTAGCTGACATCACTTAAAGGGTTAAGGGTAATCAGAGAGTTGAAAAAGTAGGCATTTAAAATAATTTTTTTTAAACTGTTGTATGATAATTTTTATTTGACTTATAATACCAAGTTTTTACACTGTATTCAAGAAAATAAAAAATAAAAATATGAAGTCGGGACCAAATTATCTACTTGATTGTTACCTAACCTTCAGTATTTCTTAGTGGTATATTTAAAATAAAATAAATACTTTATGTAGTGTTTTTTTTTCAAATTAAGCAAAATGAGGGCCTTTGAAAGTTTATGTACAAGTTTTAAGGAAACAAAGCTTTAATTAAATTAAATTAGATTAATCCTTTAGTTAAGGACTAGTTTTTCATGCCTAGAATATGCTGTATTAATTTCATTGTAACCCATTCAGTGGTATTTAAAATATAGTGGTTACACTTTAGGTATCCCCAAAGAAAAAAGTCGAAAATGCTCAAATCTGGTGAGCGCCTGGTCTCTCTGAGGAGAGACGTGGGGTGGTCTGCGCGCTCATGGTCACCAATTTAGTGATGTAATCATTAAAACTTGATGTAAGATACTAGATTGTCTACTGAATCGAACAATATAAACCTCATTTTTCTAAGTTGAATAGTTTTTTTACTGCAGCCCTTCAAAACCGATACATATCTTTTGCCCCACCTGTACATAGGCTATGCATGTGTATTTATGTGTATATATTTTATAAACATAATTATATCCTAGACATATTTTTTTCTTTTTGTAACAATATTTGTAGGATTTAATAAAAAATTACAACATATTGTCTGAATTAACCAATCAAATGTACATTTAATTATCAAATCATAAGTTTATAATGAAGCAAATTACATTTAATAAAAAATCACTTACAAACAAATTTGTTTTCCCTTTCAATTTTGTGAAAACCAATTTAAACTGTATACATTTTTACTAAACTCTTATAAATATATTGTGCAGTTTTAACACATGGCATTGGATAGAGAGAGGTGGAAAAGCATTAAAATTAAAAAGTGGCAATGGTCCTAAATGGACCGCTATAAGCCTAAGAAGAAGAAGAAGTTTTAACACACGCTTTTACTGAAATAATACTTTTAACATCAGTTAAAAACTTGCAAAAAATAATTTAACAGAATTGTAGTGCTTAAATTAAAAAGATTAAATTATTCTTATTTAATTTAAAATTATTATTTTTGTTATTCGTTTTTAGGATTTGGCAACGAATTAAAAAAAGTAAGAAAACTGTGATGTATCCTGATAAACAACGTTTAGATGAAATATCAAATTTATTTGATGGTGAAAACATTGTTAATGTACATCATATGGTAGATCCTGAGGTAATTGATTAGTTTTTTTTTAATATAAGTAAATATTTATTTAATTAATTAATTTTTGTTATACATTTATAGAATTCATTATTCAAATTGTGGAAAATGGGCGTAAATGAGGTTTCTATTGGTATTCTTATGGAAAGAACTTGTTTAGAATCATTGCTTTGTGAAACAACAACAGTATTTAATGACCTGGACACAACTGTGTAAGTAATACTATAGGTACCTCAAATATTTATTATTGCTATTTTCATAAAAATATTGTTTTATAAGAGTTGAAGACTTGTTATTAATTTCTTTATTATTTACTTAATAATGAAAATTGAGAATTTGTATAACGAAAGTTTTATTTTTAATTAGTGATACCATGTTTAAAAAATATCTGATTTTGGCTAAGGGAGTTGAAATAATGTTTATTTTGTATATAATCATTAATACTAGAGAGAATAATAATAATTTAAGTTTGGTTTTTGAAGACTAGGGAGAAGTGAATAAGAAATGTATATTATGTATGATGGAGCAAATATGAGTTTTTGAAATGTATGTGGTAAAAAAAAAATTTCATTGAGAATTAGTAGAGTTAATCAAATCTAGAAATGGCAGTTGGCCAACAATGATATTATATATTAGTGAATATTGGTCCTAAAATAAGAGTTGAAAGGAATAATGAAATATCTGAAATTAGAATATTGAGATGTTCAATTGTAAGAAATTATGTAATAGTCAAAAATTTTAAAATTAAATAAATATTTTTAAAATAAGATGTACTACATTCTACACAATTTGTTTTTTTCACTCTTTCAAATAAGCTGTAACCACACTATTGACCATATGTGGCCCCAACGAACTGTTCTCCTGTAGTGATAAGTACAAATGTTTGTTGTGTTGTTGGAATTCAACTCTAACGTAAAGTATTCAGCCTATAGTGTGAAGCTAGCTATAAAAAAACACTTATTGAGTAGTTCCTTGTAGGTAATAATAGTGTAACGTAAATTTGTTATCACTCCCTGTCTAGTACAGTTTCTGTAAAGAAGCATTTTTGAGCTTATAGAATATAGATGTACATTTACAAAGTATTTATAAAATAAACAAAGCAGAAAATAAGTTTTGTAAGACAAAAACATATTGAAGTACATAAATGAAACCCAACTCTTGGCGAGTTAATTTAACTAATAACATTGAAGGTGTGTCACGGCTTATATCAATATAACATTTTTTTTTTTAAATGACTACCTTAGTATAAGCACTATACATATGTTTATTTATATAATTTTTTTACAGGATAAACAGAATGCCATTATAAAAGCTGATTAAACAATTTGTTCGTTTTAAATATTTTTATTTGTTTAATAATTATTTTTATATTTTATTTTAACGTGTAAATTGTACTTACTAAATATAACATTTTATTGATATGTAACACCTATTTTTATTAAAATAGGTGTTAAAAATATTTTTTGATCTCTATTGTTTAATTTTAGTTTTATACAAAATATACAAACATGTTATAAATTATCAAAAAGAAGCCAGAAATATTTTTTATGGTTTAGTGAAGTGGTTAACTTTTAAAATTTTACATTCTGTATTTAGCTAATGTGAATTATATGATTTAATATATCTAATTTTAAAAAAAGGAACATTGTTTTTTACATACTAACAGGTTTTGCATTGAAACAATTTATAATATTTATCCTGAAAATGTATTCCTATATCATTTCTACCCTACTTATCTTAAATTTAATAATTTATAGGTATATTTTTAATTATTTATACTTAAAAACACAATTTCCTAAATAGATTATTATTAGTATTGGTTAGTTTGACTTGACATAATAAACCATAGTATGAAATTATTTTGACCAGTCTAATTTAACTCACAAATTTAATACTTAAATTGAAAAATGCTTTTATATATATGTATTAGATTCATAAATGGCAAATTCTAATTACTTATCTATCTTAATTAACTGTATATAAACACTCATTTTTTTGCTAAATATTAATAATTTCTTCAAAGCCGTTCTCACTAGGTTAGCTTTAAAAAATAAGTTTAGTTTAAGTAACCATAGTCCTACGTCCTGCTATAGCTTCAACATATTATATGTGAGCTATTTATTGTTGTATCCACCAAAATAGGATTATACATCCAACACTGTAACAATTGTAATATGCCATGTTTTGGCGACCGCATAACTAGCATTACAGTTGTTATCATTGGATTCCAGCAAAAAAAAAAACAGCTCATTATGGGCCAAACTTTACTTCTTTAAATTAGGATTTTCAAGTAATTTCTTTGTAACGAAAACGATTTTCGATGGTGTTTATGTAACTTGGTAATTTTTTTTCTCTAGAGATCTAGATTGTTATTAAATATTTGTTTAATCCTAAAATACAAAAGTATTAATTATTATGCATTCAATAACCAATAGTATAACCTTCTTCCAAGCTAGCAATTAAATTATTTTTTCTTTACTTTGAGTATCAGAAAATGAGATGTTATAAAAAAAAAAAACAAAATATGAACTTAAAACATGTTATTTGACTTTAATTGATTTATATGAAAAAAAAAAACACAATAGGAATTATTAACTAAATTTACTTAACTCAAGTTATTAAAAAAAATTGTAGCTGAATTAACAGGCATAATTTACTTATGTAACTTGTCTCTTAAAAAAACATAAGGGTTGAACGCATAAAATTGGGTTTTCTAAACGTAAATAGAAATGTATATATAATATATATTTTCTCTTGATATTAAATGGATTCAATTTGCACAATAAACCGCATATTCTATGAACGGTATAAATTACAAAATAGGACAATTTAAAGTAACTATACAAATTCATTGGGAAATGTATGGTTTTATAAACAAAATAATTTAATTTTTTTTAAATAATAAAATACAGGCAGAGTTTATTTAAAAAAAAAATCAATGCTACGTGCAAGGTAATTGATTAATTGAGACAGTTAACAGATAAATTGTTGAATTAAAGAGACTAATAAATTACAAGTCTTCATCCTCGTCAGGCAATGCTGTTTCTTGAGCCTCCTAAAATACAAAAATTATTGATTCACAACTTCTATAGTTATTAATTAATGTAAATAAATTGTACCTTGAGGTCTTGTTCAATTTGATCTTGCCACTGTGGGTCCATTTTAATTTCAGGTGGTACAAGAGCAGGCATAGCTACAAATTCAAGGTTTGGGTCTCCAATAAGTTTTCTTGCCATCCACAAGAAAGGTTTTTCAAAGTTGTAATTACTTTTTGCACTTATGTCATAATACTGTAAATATTTTTGTTTTTCAAATAAACATGTATTCAATTTCAAATGTTTGAGATTATGTTATATTTATTAATATAACAAAAGGAGTATAAAATAATTAAGATAAACAGATTGGTTATATATGTACCTGTAAATTCTTTTTACGGTGAAAAACTATTGTTTTGGCCTTTACTTTCCTGTCCTTAATGTCAACTTTGTTGCCACATAAAACAATTGGAATGCCTTCACAAACTCTTACTAAGTCTCGATGCCAATTGGGTACATTTTTATATGTGATACGGCTAGTAACATCAAACATGATTATAGCACATTGGCCCTATATTAACATGTAATTAACAAAAATTATAATACTTAAATACATCAATAATTAAATATTTGCAACTTATTACCTGAATGTAGTAACCATCACGAAGTCCTCCAAATTTTTCTTGACCAGCAGTATCCCAAACATTAAATCTTATAACGCCACGAGTTGTGTGGAATACCAAAGGATGAACTTCTACTCCTAATGTGGCAACATACTTTTTTTCAAATTCACCAGTTAAATGGCGTTTGACAAAAGTAGTCTTCCCTGTACCACCATCACCCACCAACACACATTTAAATGTTGGTACATCATCAGGGACATTCATTATAGCTTATCTATTAAAACAAAAAAAATATTAAATGTGCACAATTTAAACTATTAACATTTATGGTGAAGGAAAAATGTTCTTATAATGTTTTGTTTTTCCTAGTCATTAATATTTCACATATCTTAAGAATCAAAATGTATCCCTTGAAATGTCTATAAAGAATGTTTAGACTAAAGACTTTAATTAAGATAGGGGTTCACGCCCCAACCCCCCAGAAGGAAAAATAGCTCACCCAAAGGGAGATAAAAAAAGCTAACCTGATACTGCTCTAGAAGCAGTCAGCGACCTAACGAGACCAAACCTAGCCTTTCTGACCAACCCTGGTAGTTTATTGATAATACATTTGAAACAAATTGCTGTTTTTTTTATTGTGATTCACATCACCTACTGCTGCAACTTAATTATAAAATAAATTGTAATATTTAAAAAAATACATTAAATCAGTTATGCCCACTTTGGCTTTCTCCTATTTAATTGAAACCGAGTAGGTAACTGCTTTTTAAACAATTCGATTTACAGTCGTTATATTTCCTAAGATATGATCTTAGTTCTTTAATTTTTTTATTTGTTTATAAGGAATTGACCACAAGATGTTCATAAATAGATATCTTAATAAAAGTCTGCACATAACCTAAATTATTACAACAAATTCAACCCATAATTACAGCTAATTATTCACGTCGACTAAAATGTATCACGTTAAAAGCTTCAGAATGGAATTATAACTTAACGAATCAATAACGGTCAAGTTAGCTCAACCCGAACTTAAAAGTTGACGAAAATCAAATAACACATTAAATCACATGGCTTATAAATTGCCGTGAACACGAACGTAAGTAATAAAACGAATCATTTAAAAACATAAATACCAGTTAATGCGTTAACTCCACAACACCGAATAACAAAGCCCGAACTAAAACCGTTAAGAACCGTAATGCCGCTAACCTCACAGTTTAAAACGTTTTCGGTCAGCGTAGCGGGAAAATACGAGAAAACCGGGATGGCGGTAACATTAGTTGCAACCGGTAGATACGTGTGGTTTCATTCAAAACATAATATTACCATCGAAATACTTACTTGGTTGTTGCAAGTTGATAGTCGCTAAAATGTAGTTTTCGAATTGACGACGACGAGTACAATTAAAACCCGGAAAATCACGCTGGTGCAAATTGAAGTATCGCTCTATAGCTTCGTTATGGAATGGCCGACCACTCACCACGGACAAGAGCATAGGCCATAGCCTCGCTATCACGATCACGTCAGAGTCACGTCCCGCGCCGAAACCGCCGCCGACTCCAGTGTGACCGTATGTGATAAAACAGTGCCGCCTACAAACCGATAACGATTGCAGACTATTTTACCGCTCATTTTAACGTATCTCGTAATCCCGCAGGGGGTTGACAAATTTACGAATGTGGGACGTCGGGATGACGGCGTACGAATATTTATTAGTTATAATCTATTTGCTATAGCCTATTTCCGAATGCGGCCGCCACACGCCGAAACTATAATACATCGTAAGCCAATATTATACTTAACAGATGAATTTTTAATAAATATAGTACAAAATCCGTATAGGCGGTTTAATGGTGTCTTATTTAAAAGTATATTGTTAAAAACGTATAAAAACAATAAAAAATTTCAAATTCAGGAAACTTAGGTCGGCAAATAATATATTAATTATTATTTTATTGAACTATACTGACATCGCTATAAGAAAAAATATAATATGAGTACCCATGACTCATGAGTACAAACACGCACTTTAGCTTATTAGATGACTAAGTTTCAAATTAACAGATTATTTGTTCAAGTTAAGTATTATAATGGTATTTGATATAATTTTCTAAACACTACCACATTCTTGACTGTTGTCTGTCTACATAGGACCAAGAAGAAAATTTTTATTAATTATTGAAAAGGTAGATTCTCATAAATTACCAGTTATAAAAATATTATAGAAATAATTGCTTACTAATTATACAAAATTCCTTACAATGTCTATTATTCCTCCCTACTGGCATGAGTCATCACAATTTTTTAATTTTGTACCATCTTAAGTACAATGTATTCCGACTACAATATTGAATTAATATATCTTGTAGTACTAAAAATTCGGCAGTGTAAAATAATTTAAACATTTTTACGACAGTTTTTATTTTTTTCATCAGTTGTTAACATTTTTTTTACTAATCAATATTATGGGACGTCGCCAGGAATTAGGTTGGTCACATTGGTATGAATTCGTTTTTTGGTCCACGGAGCGCGCAGCCGCGCTATATAATATATTTCACTCGCAGGTCTGCCGCTGACAGTGCTGTAGTTAGGAAGTATGTATTGATTTTTATCTCGTCCCTTTTCGAGTTTTCCGCACGCTCTTCTGTATAGTAAAATATTGAAATCTTATTATTTTCCCAGATTCAAGATTATTTTGGTTTTTAGTTAGCTTAGCTATTCCAGTGTCTGTTGTCACTGCCGTTACTTAATGATGTGTTTATGAGGCTTAATCGTCGTTGGCTGGTCTTTATATCCATTTTGTGTTTCCATACTGTAAATAATGACTAAGGACAGGCTAGCGGCTCTGAAAGCGGTAAGGCTAATGAATCATACTGTAGTTTTTGACGATACTGATATATTACGTTAGTTTGCTCTTTTATTGTTTTGGTTGTGTATGGAAGCGCAAGAGCTGCTACCCACAACTTGCTGTTTCTTTATAGCTGTGTTGAATGATAAAAGTTATATTATAGGCACCTATACCTTGTCTTCATGCCATGTTCAAAAAAATTGCTTCTATTGCTGAGATATTGTAAACATAAAATTTGACATTATTAACAGATAAAAAAACATTAAATTTATTTTCTTGTACTTAATTAATCAGTTTTTTTAGTAAGGAATGCCTAATAATATCACAATATATCATGATTAATGATACATTGTTTTAATTTAAAAAGAAAGGTATCACGTCTTATTAGTTGTTGATTTTGGATACAAAAATGTATTTTAACAAAAATAATTATACAGCTGATAATATAACTTCTTTAAAGTTTGTTCAGCAGTTTATTTAAAAAAAATATTTTGAAATTTTTTTGGTTTGATAAGTTTATTAAAATGATAATTATAGGAATTTTAATTAATAAATTATTTATTTATTTATTTAAATGTTATTATAGTCACTTATTGCATTCATGTAGTGTAGATATAGTTACAGCATCAAAAATAATATAAATTACTTTTTATATGCCTGTTGTAGAGTAAACCTTATCTTTAAAGAAACATTAATTTTTAAATAACATAATAAAACACAATTGATTGATGTTATAATTACATTTCAGGCTCAAAGCGATGATGAAGAAGGTGGAGCCGATGATGTGGCTGTTAATATTGATGGGCGTCAAGATGGATCCGGGGCCGCATTCATGGATAAATTTTTTGAGGAGGTAAACATGTTTTAACTAAAAACATTTGTTATTTAAGTATATAGTATTATAAGATAATCATTGGTAATAATTATTTAAAAGTGATTATTGTTTTGGCACGTGTGTATTATACGGATCCTCTTATTTTTTTATAACATCAGAGGGTAATAAAATAAAATAATACCTTTTCTAAGTAAAGGGAAGTATATTTAATGTGATAATAACAAATAATGTCTTAAAGTCTGTAAGGTCGGCGAGTAATACTTCAAAAGCATCGCGACAGCTCTTGGTTACCGCCAAGAGCTATTTTACTTTTTTTTTTTAACTTGATCTTTAAACTTGACTTAACTTAAACCTGTGACCCCCTCCTAGACTGTAGCCTACAAACCTAGAGTATTTTAAGTTTAGCGGAGCGGAGCGACAGCACCGATTAAGCGAGTGCCAAAACACTCGGTGACCTGCCATCCTATAGAGGGGTGAGTGTTGTGCAAGTTCACACGGGGAACAAGGAATCGCTTCATTAGGAACTGTATTAATGTGTAATGTGGTTTATTTTATCTAATAACCCTCTGATATTGAAAAAATGGGGGGGAGGGGTCTGTAAAGTACACAAGTATCATTTTTTTTTTTATAAAACAATACAGTAAATTCTTGTTATGTCTAATTTAAAGAGGAAAAAGAAGAAGTTTTAGACATCGATTTTTATTAAAAAAATTGAATTAATTTGAATACTTAAAATATTAATACCTATGAATTACAATATTTATACATTGGTACATTAACCCTCTGTTAGTTGCGTAATTTTCGGTCACACATAAATAAAGTGTAACTGCCGTATATTTCTTACCCGAGCTATAGGGTGAGTCAACCGTAGACCACTCGCCTAACGAAAGGTTTATATTTACATTGCATTATGGTAGTTTCAAGGGGATTTCAATGTATGTAGTTCAAGATAACAGAAAATTTGAGATAGCTACATTCGACATTATAAGAATCTACTGTAATATGTTTTGTATAGCTATGAGCGAGACTTCAGCATTTATTAAAGATTTTTTTTTAACGGCATAAATTACCTCTTTTGACCATTTCCTATCCTCGACAAATAAGGGGGCTTGTCACAAAAACTGTATTTAGATATTTCTTGATGAAGAGAGTTAAGTTGGTAACAAATTTCTCTAAATATTTATTCCCTATTTTATAGAAATCTTCCTTCCCCCCCCCCGCTCCTAAAAAAATAATACATTATTTATTAAAACAAAAGTTACATATAAATTTTTTAAAAAGCAGTGCTTCAGTCACATTTGCTACTCAGTACTGCAGTTGAGCTGCGCCAGGTGTTTTGAGATTAGTGTTAATTGAAGGGCGATAATCGGGGAATTTCGAGCAAAAGCATGCAATCAACTAACACGATACGTTCTACACCTAACTTCAACCAAACCTTGTAATCTACTAAAAGCCTTAGTTATCAAATTATAATAAATAAATAAATTTATAGCCGAAATTAAAGCAAACTAGTTATGTTTTGTGGATTTCAGCATAGATCTCTGTAAAACTAACATTTGTTTTTTTTTTTATGGAAATTCACTTAATAAAATATAAATTCCATATAATATAATAATCTCGAAAATAAGTAAATTTTAATTTAAAAATGTGTAAGGTGGCAGTGTACAGCGGCCACTATCGGCATTTTGACACTCGGTTACAGACTACTTTTGCTAAACAAAAAATAAGCTAGTGAATAGGAGGTACCTTCCCCTCTCTAACGAAGGACTGAAAACCCATCCTAGGTAGCGTTAGGAAACCTCCCTCTTGGAATAATAAGTACTTAAAAGTTTTAATAAAGCTAAATATTCCCATTTGTAAGAAATTAAATAATAATCTTGAGTTATGAATCTTATGATAGACTCCCATTTGATTTTTTTTAAATTTTATAGGACTAAATTATGACTTAGCAAAGTGTACTATAAAATATAAATTTATATTTTATATTATAATTATTGTGGGCGTGGCAGATTTCATTCTGTTAATTAGTAATTTGTATAATTTAGACAAAATAATTACCTTTCAAATTCTTGTTCAATGTATTATTATATAATATTATAAAAAAACTGTGGTTTTTGGAAGCTTTTAAGGAAAATATGTGACAATAAAAGACATTTTGACATTTTTAATATTTAGTTAACTAAATATTAAATAATACTGTCATAATAAGATTAATACATTTATTTTTCTGGCCCTACTTTAGTATATAATTGAAAGATAAGAAACTCTTTTTAAAGATAAGACCTACTCTACATTTAACATTGTGTATGCCATACTTTGCATACTGTATATAAACATTTCAATAAATATATATATTTTTAAAGCTAGTTGTTTGGTATAAAATATTACAATTATTATATTTTATAACAATTTATTTATTACCTATTTAAAAATCGCTAATATAATGTCGAGTTACCACATTTTACTGATGAACTTTAAATTAGAGGTATACCCCAAATTACGATAAGGCTGTTTAATTTAAATGTTATACATTTTGTTTATATATGTTTAAATAAAATACAATTTTTGTTTTAGGTGGAAGGCATCCGAGGAATGATCGATAAGATACAAGCAAATGTGGAAGAAGTGAAGAAAAAACACAGTGCCATTTTATCGGCTCCTCAGACTGACGAAAGTAAGCAGTTTTTATTATTATATAGTTCTCTTGAAAAAATAGATCTATGACGAAAAATTAGTGGTTTTATAATTTGTGTTTATCATTGGTATTACCTAATTATAGTTTATACTAATAGTATGAGAAAAATGGATAAAAGGAAATGTATAATCTGGGCTAAACAAGTAACATGACCATAAACTAAAATAAACAACCTATCTCCAAAATTGTTTTCAAAACATTTTAGTCTGTATTAGCATTTTTTTCTTTTAATATTTCACATACTTTTATTATAATAGGAAGCGGTCTTATTATTCATAAGTTAAAAAGCTTATAGAATATATTTACGTTAACATATTAATATTAAGAGTTGAATTCGCACTAAAATATAGGAAGGGCACAAGGGAAAAACGGTAGTAGTCACGATATGAATGCGTTAAAACTTTCGTGGATTGATATATCAGTATGGAAAATAACTCAATTGGTAGTAGTCACATTATGAAATTTTTTTTTTTCAAATAGTTTTTTTCAATTTATGCCAATAATTTTTTTTATTTATGTCAATAGATTGTTTAAATAAATACATTCATTATTAGAGTAGCGTTTAATGTGATTTTTTTTGTTCTTATGTAAGAGGTAGAGGAATTCACGAACTTTGTTTTTGCTATACTCTAAAATTTTCATAATATGACAACTACCATTTTGCTGATTTTCGGATATATCCACGTTAGTATTTTTAGGTCGACGTTTCGAACTCATTGCAGAGTTCATCATCAGGCTGTTGTAGTCACGACTGTACCGCTGTCGTGGCTATACTGAAGCGGTACAGTCGTGACTACAACATCCTGATGATGAACTCTGCAATGAGTTCGAAACGTCGACCTAAAAATACTAACGTGGATATATTCGAAAATCAGCAAAATGGAATTTCAATTCACGAAAGCTTTAACGCATTCATGACAACTACCGTTTTTCCCCTTTGCCCTTCATATTAATAAAGGTAAAATTAAAAATTTGTTTACTATTGTTAAATGACAAACAAAAATGTTTCCAAAAAGAAGAAATTTGAGATTACACGTCTTATTTTTAAAGAAAATAAGTGGCTCACTTTAAGTTGATCATCCTCTATACTTTAAAATGACAATATTGGTAACTAATAATTGTCTTTTTACTTCATCACTATTTACTTATTGAATGAGTACAAATCACTATTAGATATAATACAAAAATGTAGAGATTAAATTTGAAGTGTTTGACTCAATTTGTTTGTCGTTATCTTAAATTAAATAAACAACTTTGTTTTGCTACATTTCGTAAATACATTTAATTTAAAAAGATGCCACATCTTTTCTTAATTTTAAGTGTATAAGCTAGCTAACTACTGATCGTACTCATTTTTTTTTTAAGTTAATTTAAAAATGTTATATCATAGTTCACCGGGTGGGTATTATCAGTTTTTGTGAATATGTCTAACCTTCTTCTTCGTCTTTATCCCAACTATTTGGGATTGGCCATCCTTGTCCAAAACCTCAACTCGACACAATATTCCCCATCATCTTTGCATACATTAGCAGTCCTCTTATTTTTCTCAACTTTCTATAAACTGTAAATATGTATAATAGCTTAATTTTTATTAACTTCTGAAAGACCATTTATTTTTTCTATTTTGTTTAGTTTAGTAACAAATGTATTGAATCACTGTATCATAAAACTCCTTAAGATAGGATGACATTTTAAACTAGAAATAACCTGAGAAAAAACTTGTTAAATATATTATATATAGTAAAATAAAGTATTTAAATATACAATATACCATGCTTGATTCTATAGTGTATGATAGACCTAGTAGGATAGCATTTAAAGATAGGAAGAAAACTAAAAAATATGTTTGTTATTTGTTGTATTAAATATAGTTTAAATACTTGTTCACATTTTAAAAACTAAATGTGATCGTCCATGTGAGAAGGTTCCCGGAGAAAACTGTTCAAGAGAGCCAAAAGTCAAAACTAACTTTTTACTGACTAACTTTTTATGAGTTCTAACTTGAAAACTTCACGACTTTTGAATGAATTGAGTCAATTGTGTTCAGAAGCTAATCGATTACAACAAAATGTAATATAAGATACGCTTTTCCATAAACGGTCACAAATTTTTGTCGAATTTATTTAAACTTAAAATGTTAGCTTGTAGAGTATATTTTATAAATATATGTTTTAAGCATCATTAGTTTCTATTAAATAAAGTAATAAGATAAAATGACTTTTTCCCCTATTTGATCGTTTGACTTCTGAACCAATAGCAAAATTGTTAGGATGTCCTTAGTAATTGCTATTGAAGTTATCTTTTCTATCATTCTTTACTCTAAAAGTTTAATAGGACTTACAATTTGGAAATTAGAAATGACCTAACAACCCAAACGTTTTTGAATATTAATAAATATGACGGAATATTATATTAAAAAATTAATTTCATTAAGATTAAAGGTCGAAATTCATAAAAAAAAATTCATAAGTGCCTTCGGAAATCTAAATTTGGAAAATCGGTAAAACCGTTCTCTTGGATTAAATAATCTAATGTATCTGAAATATCTGGTTTACTTACACATGAATATCCTGTGTATATTATATTATATAATTACCGAATGTAGTCTATAATTGATAATCTAGGCATAAATTAAATACCTTATAAAAAAAAAACGCTTATTAAATGAACAATGTTTTTTTTTATATACACGTTATTATAAAGTTGATTCCGTAAAGTAGGTACTAGCATTTTGCTCTTGCTAACATCTCGTCACGCGTAGAATTATGCTTTTACAGCAAAAGCATTTGTACTATAATGTAGGTCATTATACCTACATAATATTATAGTAGCTACAACTAGAAAGAAATTCTGTTAAGGCATTTATGTAATATTAACAGCTTAAGGGTCTTTTGTTTTATTAAACATAATACAAAATAAATAATACCTATTTCGATTTTTAAAATTATGTATATTTATTTTTAAAAAACATGTATTTATTATAATATACTACTTATTTTTTTTAAGTGAATGAAAAGTTAACAGCGCCGTTAGTTACTTCTTTATGAATACTGAACACGAAAGGGCTTCAGTAAAAATGTCCTAAATAGGAAGCTCTACATTATACCTACACTTTACAACAACAGTAACCCGATATTAAACTTTAGCGTATAGTTTTTTTTATAGATATTTCGGAGTATTGAAAGATTATACGATTTTTTTTAGTTACAATTTTATTATAGTGATTTAAAATATTAAATAGTTGAGTTTCCTATTTTAGACTAAGGGGTTAAAAAAAGTAATAACTCGTAATTATAATTTTTAGCTCGGATGTTTTTTTTGTGCTCTTATACAAAGGTTTTTTTTTAACTTTTGCTTGGTAACAGTACCATAGAAAAGCGTCCTTTTAAAATTCTAAATGTTAGACTAAAAAAAATATTGTAGTCAACTATGACACATTAAATTTTGTTATGGCGCTGCGATAGGTAAGATAGGTCGGTGTATGAATACAAATGATGTATTTTTATCTTAACATGCCTTACTATAACTTTTACTTGGTACAAAGTTTTTTTTACATCACTCTAGGCTATTTGTTGTTTATAGTTAATATTTTATTCTTTTCGTTTGTGTTAGTAAAATAATATTAGTGCATGTTATATTTTTTAACATGAAAATTGTTTTTAATTAAAAATGTTCAAAGATTTTTCTGTAAAAATCGTGTTAATATAAATGTACATAAACGAAAGGAACGTTATTTAATAGGTTGCGATGTACCCTTCTCGCAACACACAATTTTAATCGATATATTACTCCCCTCTGGCTTATGTCTGAACTCTTCTATGTTTGCCACCTCCCGCCTGGCCGCTAACGAATAGTCACCTTGACAACGTTGTGAGTGTTGTCAAATAAACAGGCAATCCGTTATTTTCAAATGGGTTTCTCTATAATCATTATGTTTTTGTCGTCGAAGTCATTAAATGTTATGATTTTTTATAATGATAAAATACTTTAGTGATTGATCAGTTATTCTGTATTCAGTTAAATTACATTACACACTTGAGGAGTTAAATGCAAGACATCCATCTCGCAATTGTAAATTATTAGTTCCTTTTCTTTTATCGAGTTGAATAATTGTATTACCAAGAAAGCATATCGCACATGTATTTCTACAATGACACAAATAAAAAATGTTTATGCCAAAACATTTTATTTTTATTAGAGGATTGTTTACCCTATTCTTGTCATGGTAGTAACTCGAAAGTTGTTGACTAAATTCATTCTAGAAATACAGTGCGATTTGTGCAAATCTGTAAATATAAGTCATGATTTTGAAAAATAGAAAAAATGACTAATGAAAGTGATTGAAAACTGTATTTTAAAATGCCGCAATGCGCTGATTTGTTAAACATTTTTTATTCATTTGCGAGACTCGTGATAGGTCGACGTCGTCGTCAGGGACGCGTGTACACACGAATACGACTATCGTCGATTATACACACACACGTGTTATATATATATATATATGTAATAAATAGAGTACGCTCAACGCTGTGATCATTTTGGAGGTAGGACAAAAAAAAAGGATAGGTTAAGTCATGTTATGTAAATCAATGATGCGGCAGCAGTTGAAGTGTTGGGGACACTTGAATAGCGTTCAGACTACATGATCTGCGTCCCATTTTTATCAGCTGAAAAAATGTGTAACCCATTTTTATCAGCAGATAATATAAGTTAGTATATTATATTAACGGATTACCGTTCATTTGCGCCAAATTAAATAAATTTAGCGGTTCAAAGTAAATTATTTACTTTTAAATATAGTTACATTACAAAATTAATTAATGGTTAAGTAAACAAAATGAATATTTAATATTTCAAATTTAGGCAGTTATTATAATAAGTGTACCGCGCTGTATACAAATAATATTACACATTGCCACTCAAAAGTTATTGATGGGTTTAAATTTCGGTAACAAAGAAGTTTAAAAAATGGCGATGTACAGTAAAATCTTATTATATTTTAAAACTGATAATAGGGACGAACTTTTAATAAATGATAGTAGTAGGAAAACTTAGATGTGCTTAGCACTCAACATTTTTTTGTGTTTTACCATAAGTGAGGAGACTGGATTTTCTAATATTTCCAGTGCTTAGGTACACCCGCCTATTTTAGTGAAATTGGACACCTGGACTCCGGAGACATGACATAAAAATGCCTATACTATACTCCTTAGTAAATACGTGGTGTAAATGGTCTCTTAGTTAATAGTTAGGATTTTTTTAATGATTTGAGATTACAGTAAGTTTTCATTTGATGTTTACGAGTATTGCATGTTGTCTTACTTCACTGTCCCTCTTATTTTAACTAATTTATACATTCTCAAGTAAGAAATCGTTTTCGCTAAACTTCATGCTAAGTAGTGAATTATATTGGAGACGCAAGTTAGTGCAATTTACATCCCATAAAATGTTGACTAGAGTGTAATAGTATTTTGCTCCTTCTGGACATTTACCATTTAACAAATTATAATTAGTATATCTTTTACTTAAATTGGATAATTATTTATTTTGAGACCTAATTGAATATGTTATTGTAAAACGATTTTATACAGGCTTTCATTAATGATATAGCAATTAAGAATTAACATATTGCAGTTATTGAAATGAAATCTTAGAAATTTGATAGGTTGTTATTGATTGAGGGTAAAATACCTACCCTATTTATAATTGCATTTAGTTTATATTAGCAATATTTTAAATAATGTTTTATATTTTCGAAGTATGAACATCTAACTTTGTATTTAATGATCCTGACACTCATACGAAACTCTGCGACTATGAATACTTTTTTTAGCTTAAGTAAAAAAGTGAATGCTTGCTTCTCAGTAAAAAGTTTTTAAAAATTGACCAACTAATATGGAATTTAACCCAGAGTTCACGTATGTTGGACGATAGGTTACTTCAGTAGTGCAACTCGGGGGGATGGGAGGCGGGTATTAATTCTCCAAATTAAATTTTATTAAAAAAATCGGAGCCAAGAAGACAATTATAATTTAGGCCTCAAAGTAGTAGGTTACTAGAAAGCTGAGCTGAATCATCACGCTTATAAAACAATTTTGTAAAAGTGGTAATTTTTTTAATAATAAAATCAACTTTAAGCATAATATGCTGTGTTTTGGGACAAATTATTGCGGTGTGCGGTAGATGGAACACTTGGCTCTATTGTCTTCGCTTAAAGTAACAGAACAATCCAACCTCATGAAGATAACAATAAATTATTAGAAATGATCAAGTTGTACTTTTTTGGGAGAAGGGGGAGGGAGGCGTTAGAAATTAATATTATTCTGAAAAAAATTAAATATCAAATTTACATTTTTCAGAGGTGAAACAAGAATTAGAAGATCTTATGGTGGATATTAAAAAAACCGCTAATAGAGTTCGTGCCAAACTCAAAGGTAAAACACATTTATATGATTTAATTGTTGTAGGTATTCTTAAATTTATATATGTTATTCAGAAATTGAACAGAATATTGAAGCGGAAGAGCAATCGAACAAATCATCAGCTGACTTAAGGATACGTAAAACGCAACATTCAACTTTGTCGCGTAAATTTGTGGAAGTAATGACTGAATATAACCGCACACAAACCGATTATAGAGAGCGGTGTAAAGGTCGCATTCAGAGACAGTTAGAAATAAGTTAGTATTTTTTAATATATATTCATTAAATCATTTTTTTGTTACGATTGTGATTATGAATTGAAGTATTATTAACTTAAAAATCTTTGGATGTATCCATGTCATCCAATATATGTCATGTCCAAGACATGATTATCAAGTTAAAAATGTATTTTGTATTATTGTGTTGATGTTTATTGGAATTTATTGACAATACAATAAAACTGTTATAGCTTTTGAAGTACCTAATTTTATCATCATATTTATTTTCATTTTAAAAATTGGTGTACAAAATATTAAGTAATATTTTATTAATGTAAGATTGAAATTTGTTTTATTATTAGCTGGTAGAACAACAACTAACGAAGAACTTGAAGAAATGTTAGAACAAGGAAATCCAGCTGTATTTACTCAGGGCGTAAGAATAAATATTATATTATTTTATTTATAATTTGTTAAGATATAACTATGGGCTTTCCACTTACTTTATCATTTTTGTTTAGATAATAATGGAAACGCAACAAGCTCGGCAAACATTAGCCGATATTGAAGCTAGACATGCTGATATTATTAAGCTTGAAAATTCTATACGGGAACTCCACGACATGTTTATGGATATGGCAATGTTGGTTGAAAATCAGGTATGGGTTTTATTGCTATCCTATAATTATTTATTTCTGAGTAATTGATGGGTATTGTTTATTAAACAATTGTTAGATACCTTGTAAAAAAATTATAGTAAAATTAATATATTATTGTCATATGTATTTTAAACTTGAAATCACATTAAACATTTAAAATTTTTTAAAAACATTTTTAAACGGGAATACTTTCCAATTCACAAAAGGCTATCTTAATCTGAATATAGTTTTCAATAAATTAACTATAAACAAATTAATTTCAAAAAATATATTTCTTTTATTTATCATTCAATGCTTGTCTTAAAAACTTAAATTATATTAATGAGATTAGCAATAAGCTGTAACCATATAGATGAAATAATTCTTTTTTAATATTGCTATAATGAATTTATATAATTGTGTCACATAATGTGAGACCACAGACCTAACTGTTCATTATTAGGTACATATTTTATTATTGGATTTTAAACACTGAATTAAAAGGATTCTTTGTAAATACATGATATGGTATACAAACTAAATTTATGATATAGATTAATTAATTTATATCTATATATATCTATCTATATATAAAAAAAATAGGGCGAAATGATTGATCGAATTGAGTATCACGTTGAACACGCCGTGGATTATGTACAGACGGCAACTCAAGACACTAAGAAAGCATTAAAATATCAGAGCAAAGCGAGAAGAGTAAGTCAAAAGGGGTAGAGATTTGCGTTCATTCCTGCTCGCTTTGCTGTGTGCATTTTGTTTGATTTTGTAGGTAGTTTATTATTTTTCCATTTATATGATTTTTTTGTTGTAGTTGCTTACATTATAGATTGAAAATATTTTCTAAAATAATAACGATTTCCAATTTATGTGCTCTGATCAGTAGATATTTAAAAATTGTATCTTGTTGTTTTTTAATTTAAGATCTGTTTGACTAATTATATGCATTTGATTTTTGTCCTTTGGCAATAATTGCTTGGTTTTTACATTTATTCACATCAAAAATTTAATTTCCATATTCATAATTCCCTATTTGTTCATTTCCTATGTCCTGCATATTGCCGAAAAAAAAATAGGGCGAACTTGTTGATAGGATAGAATACCATGTTTCGTTCACCGTTGAAAAGGTGGCTGATGGGAAAAAGGAGTTAGACGTAGCTCAAGAATATCATAAAGAAGCTCAAAAAGTAAGTTCGTTATCAATAAAAAACGGTGTCTGTATTTTATTAAAAGGTTCTAATTATACGGATAACTTATCTGGCGTCGGTATAATTCACTAAGATCAGACATATGTGCATTAGGCAATGTAGGTTGTCTATCTAATATGCAATGTAACTGCATGATAACGCATTAATTGAATGCGTAACAAGGGTAATGTAAATAGGCTAAATGATTTAACAATAACCAGGAGATAGAAATATATGTTGGTAAAATTACCGTAAAAAAATGTACACTATATTTTTAAAACTAACCCTCATTTAACGCTTGTTTAAGAAAGAAGCAGCACATTGTTTACAGATCCAGTTAGAATATCATAAATGACAACACAAATTTGGTGTGGTAAAACTAAATAATCATTCATTATACATTTAAAAAAATTAGCACGTTTTAAATTGCCAACGAAGTACCACACTTCAGCTTGGATGAACATGTAACTAAAGTATGGTTTTTTGTCCAATAACAGAAACGACTAGTAAAGAGTGTGGAAACAATGTATTTAAATTATTAATTATTGTACAGTCTAATTTATATTTTTATAATATTGTATTGTTTGCTTTGATTACAATAATAATTGTATTTTTGTGTATTGAAATTAGAATAAAAATATTTATGGTCTATTTCAAAGACATGAAACAACATAAGCTTTAGTGTGTATTAATACAGTAGTTTTATTTTTAATTAGTTTATAAAAACACTGGTTTTTATGCTTTTGCTTTTGGCTTTTTATTTTAAATATATAAAACATTGGGTTTTTATTTGTATATACAACAAGATGTTTTTTTAGTTGATTTGTTTTACTAATACATTTTTTGAATTATAAATATAGAAGAAAATCATGATCCTGATATGTTTGACAATTCTGATTGTTATTCTTGGAGGATTTATAATGAGTTTCCTTCCAAAGTTTCCTTAAGATAAATCTATATGGACACAAGTAAGAATAATGTATTACGAGTATTAATGAAAATAAGTTTAACTATTTTATTACTTATTAGTGCTTGAGTTTAGTTAAACCTACCCATAATTTCATACCAAAAATAATATTTATTCAGCAACAGTTGATATTTCACATTATGAGTAATTATATGTATGTATAATAATATAGACAGGTATTCATGGGTTTATTTTTAATTAAGAAAATTTGTATTTTATGTTATTTCGACTAAATTATCCTTTTATTTAGTTTGAATATAAAGCTTCTAAGGTGTGGACCTCTTAAAATATAAAACAAAATATTTATTTCTCAAAGTTATTCTCTATATATATAATAACTGAGCATGATACACATATACATTATTTACACAGACTGGTGGTTATCTATTGTTAACTTTCCTAAACTTGCAGAGCAATTTTTTTGACGGAATCATCCGGCAGAGCAGTCACTCAATTCATTTACTAGTTCTTCGGCTTATTAAGACTGGAATAGCAAACACACAACAATGTTGTATTGTTATTATTATGGTTTTTAATTTCCTCTTCTTGTCTGAAAAAGTCAAAGCCTGTTTAAATTTTTAATATCACTGGTCGTCCTATTTTTAATGTATTATATAATAATATTTATTGTTTTTTTTAAATACCTCTTTCTTAATTATTATTATAGTTCGATTGTTATTTATAAAATTATTAGATTTTTAAAACCAACTAATATGATATTATCTTTGTGTAATAATTATTATTTAATATTATAATATTTATAGAGGTTCATGTGATAATTCGTTAAAATATTTAAAAACGTTTGGCTTCCTCGTTTTATTATTTTATTGTTTTTTTCAGTGCGATGCATAGGTGAACAGGAAATAATGTCAATTTTAAATAAAAAAAACCTAGCTGTTTTGTTCTACTTAAGTATTATTGGTCTGTAAATGCTATAGAGGAACTAATTTATTGTATGTACTTACATTTATTTTCAGAATGGTTTTATTTTTAATATTAAGTATAGTGACCCCCAAATAGTTGTAACTATGTTAAAGTGCCTTGAAATATATGGTTTTCAAATACCAACATTAATTTAGAAATGGTATGCTTAACAATTGTAGAACATTCATATAATTAATAATTATTTATTATGTATTACAACTCTTAAGTTACAACTTATTAATTAAAATAATTCTAAATTTCTTTAAGTTCCCTGATAATAAATTTGGTTTTCTTAAAATCATTATGTACGATCATTTACAAATGTAATAGATCTAAAACATTTACTTCACCTAATTTGTCATTTTTTTAAAATTATATTTTTAGTAGATCTCACTAAACTGATGTTTTGATCATCGTTAATTAAAAATCGCTCAACAATTGTGTATAATTCATTACTGGTAAAATTCATCTTCATCGTTATTTTTTTTTCATATAAATAACCCAGAGATCTAGAATTGTCTTAGACAAAATTTACATTTCACTCTTAAACTACAAAATGTTATTATAATAACTTTTTTTCTACATGGCAAAGTCTTCCATAAAGTAAAAAAAAAAACGTTCTTTCTAATTTATTTGTTTATGAACTATTATAAGAAATAGTGGATTGAAACGTGTTCATTTCAAAATTTACATTTTTCTCTTGAACTAGTTTCATTTACCAGGCCAGTATGATAATATGTTTTTTAGAATAGAAAAAGTGTGAAATAGCCATATAGAAAAACGTATCATTTTACTGATATAAATATGAGCAATACAGTAAAATTGTTGAGGGAACGCATTCCAAACCACTGCACTAAAAAATAAGCATAAAGCATTTTATTCACTAAAACATTCTTAAGTTCTAAAAAAAAAAAATAATTATTTAGAAATGATGATTTTTTGTTTTTTTTATTTATTGTGAAGTGAAAGATGAAAATTATGTTTAAAAAACTGATGTAAGTTTAAATTGTGTAGAGTGAAATGAAAATTTGTAAGAAAGTAAACTCGGACCCTCAAAATAAACATTTATCAATACAAAAAAAAAACAATATAAGGCGTGTTTTTTAAAATTTTTAATTATACATTGGTATTATTTATTATAGCTATATTAGTTTTTGAGTATTAATAACATTAAAAATATGAAACTTTTAATTATTAAAATTGTGCTTTCTCTTAAATATTCTGCATTTTAGTGATTTTTTATTGTTTTTATCTCTTATTTTTAAATTTAATTAAAATAAAACTATTTTCAAACCAGTTTAATGAAAAATATATAGGGCATTTAACAACAAAATGCATATTACTAATCTCTATTACCTTTAATGTTTCTTGCCATATTATATTGTTATTTGTTTTCTTTATAAATCACATTAATGATAATTTAAACAATTATTAGATATAAAATAGACTTTTAATAATATAATTCACATTTTTTTCTTTAATTTATTGATTATTATTAATAAGTTATTTTTAAATAATAAAAATGTATAAAGTTTTTATTAAATATACACATTTTATAGAATAATAGTGGACTTTTTTAATATTATAGATTATAAAATATTACGATTAAACTAAGTATTGTACAGTAACTAAAAATTGTTTCTTGTTAAATTTGTTGATCTTTGCCTGTAATTGTAGTAGAGATACTAATTTTTTTTAAATATTTAAGTGTTAATATTGTAAAAATAGTGCAATTTAAGTCTTTTTAATAAAACAATTTGTTTTTATTAGTTTTTAAGAGAGCATTTTATTAAAAAAAAATTCACTGCAATTTCTTTTAATTTTCACAGCCTATGTTGTTATAATAACAATCTTGTGTCAATTTTTTCAAATTAAATTAATTTTTAAAGTATTTATATAAAATTAAAGGTAGACCTAAAAAAAATGATTCGCACACTTAGCTTAAAAAATAAAATATCAACAATATGTTGACAAATCAATAAAAAAGCTGAATATATGAAACATGTACGAGTTTATGTGTTAACTCATTTTTATTTATTTATTAAATGCCCCTTATAAGATTTTGCATTCCTTTTTTTTTTTTTGTCTATCTTTGTAGCTCGGTACTAGATGATCATACAACAACTTAATGTATATGTTACTTCGCCACGTTTCATATACACCATTTTAACTCATTTTATCTTTTTAATCGTAGCATTTCAAATTATTTTTTAAAATATATAAGTTTTACCATACCTTTGTATTATATTTTTTGTATGATCTACATAGCTAAAGAGTAATTTATAATTATTATTGTAGTTTTTTTTTCTAAAATGTTTTCTGAACATAATCGAGCAAAGTTTATTGATTTGCGATGTCATAATTATATTGTACCTACTTTTTATTTTGTCTGATAATAACTCATTTAATAACTTATAAAAAAATGATAATAAACTCTTAATAACGTATTCGTTTTATTGTTATTAATAATATAATCTTTTTTCTGTTAGGTGGTTTATTTTGAAATCTTTCATAATGGTTTCCAGTTTTTGTTTATATGAAGGGTATTTATTTACTTGCCAAAATTACCCCATTTGGTTTTTGCATTTTTTTTTGGCTTGACATTTATTTAAACCATAAGTGGTAAAAGTATTAAATATGAATTAAAACTATTTGTATAATACTTTTTGAAAATTACTCATACTTTAAAAAAATTATTAAAACATGAGCGGAGAATTGTATTTACACTATTGTACTCATACTTTATTTTATATTTATACCCTTAATCTACAATAATTTTAATTTTTCGGTCAGTCCAAAAAGTACTTCTCAAGTAGGGTAATTATTTTAAACCCAAAACAATTATCTATGTGATCACAGTTATGTATATTATGTTTTTAGTTTAATATCTATTCTGTAGTCTCTTTATACTCACAATATCATACTTAATTTTATCTAGCCTAACCTAACTTAACAAAATTTAACCTTACTTAATTAACCTAACCCTAACCTTTTTTTTTATTGATAACTACCCTGGCTAAGCTTTTGCAATACTTAGTCGCCATCTTTTATTGTACTAAAATACAAATCTGGTGGACGAAGGGTAGCCACCTTTTCCCATCAATGCCTGGTTGATCAGTCTCCATGAAGCATTTTTGACATCTATCATGACCAGCACGCAGAGCTTCTTGCATTTATATCAGTCTCTAGAGGCCTCAATTGCCGTTTTTCTCACTGTATTTACTATATATTATTTATTAATTTTAAATTGTAAATAAATAATTAACCCGCACTAAACCAAATGGTCCTTTGGGACGGATAAAAATAGAAAACGGTGTGCGTGTTAAATTTACAAACAATTACATTGATCGTGTGCGTATAAATATCGCAAATCGTGTGAGTATAACTTTCTAAATCGTAGATCCAAGATCCAAAGACTAAATTGTGTCCCTTATTGATCGCCGTAGTTTCCGTGGTCACGTGGAGTCCCTAAGTAACGCGGGAGTACCATTTAGTCCTGAAATAGTATTTTAATCCAAATTGCCTACATTTTCAAGTACCTTAGCAAAACTATAATTGAAAAAGTTAATTCTTTTAGTAGAACTTGAATTAATAATTGGTGAGCGGATACCTGCACTGCCAAAATTAGGTAAGGTAGGCTGTGCCTATGGTCCCCAAATAAAAGGAGCCACGCTTTAGTTATACATTCTTTGTAGCAAATAAGAAACGCCAATCTTTAAGTTGAGTCGGGACTCTGACCCACGATATCTTCCAAACCTTTGAGCCGCCGATTCCTTCATTTAGCAAGTCGAAATCGTACCTCGGAGATACTTGTATTATAAAAAAAAAAAAAAACATATCAGTGTCGCGGTCTAGCGGTCCTGGACACAACGTTTCAGAGTGAATATACGAGGCACACGGTTGATGGCGCGCTCTCCGTATTTCCGTGACCGACGGTCGCCCTTAGAGAGTTGGGTTTTGAGGACGCACGTCATTCCATCTCTAATGGGCAAACAATGAACCACGTTACAACCCGTATCTTTGTGACTCCCTATTGTCGTATTCACCTAACCACCCTAATGATAATCGTGTGTGGCTTAATCTGAATTACCATTTTCACCGGAAAACGTTTTCCCGTCCACCAGCGGTCGATGAATACCGATGAGCCACGCCGATTGTCCACCTTCAGTTAGGCCGAATGCCAATAGTACACATGCTATAATTGCCTCCCCTAAGTGTAGTATATCTGATATAAACAGACTACCACACGACGCTTAGATCCGTTGTCCCACTCAACAAGCTATACCGTTCCAATCCACCTTCCGTTCAACGGGTCATTCAATAAGAGTTCAAAGTCCCTTTCAACAGGTCGCCACTCGACCAGTACCGTACAAAAATCGTTTTTCTTCCCGTACCTTCAAAAGTCCAATTAAAATTAATAAATTCATTACAAGCAATTTTATTTGCTCCAATTTAACGGGTATAATCCCAATAACATGTAGACTAATATATGGCGATCGACGCACAATTGCACAAAAATGTACAAAAACATAAGGTAAATTAAATACAGAGGTAATTAACAAGCTTTAGAAATTACAACAAACTAGAATAATTAGTAACTGATTTTACAAATAATCATAATGTATAATTCACATGCTTAAATGCTAAAAGCGAATCAAATATAAAAATATCAGTATTTAACAGAACGCTTTAAGCGATTAAACGGGGTATATTTAGCATAATTTGATCTGTGACGAACGATGTAAAAAGTAGGATTAAATCTAGCAAAACGAGGTGGAACATGGAAATGTATTTTATGAAGAAATTCCGAACAATCAACATTATTTTGAAGTATATTATACAAAAAGTGTAAATCTAGTTTAGTTTTTCGCTTTTTAAGGATAGGAAATAGGACTGTAGAGGAATAAGGTGCTCTAGGAATGCTGAAATTAATACAAAAGAAGCGTAAAAACGCCTTCTGGACACTTTCCAATGACTTTTTTTGACCTTCTAAAAAAAGTGACCACACCACGGAACGATAATCTTAATTACAACGAATATAAGAACAATTAACCCGACGTAATGAATTGACATTCTTGAAATTTGTGTAGCAGCTTTTAACAAATCTTAAAAGTTTCATAGCTTTATTTTTTATAAATTTAAAATGACTATTGGAAGTTAATTTACAATCAAATAAAACCCCTAAATCTTTAATTTCTTGAGCATTATATTATTTAAAATATTTATTAAAGCAAGAGCGGTTATAGCATACAAATTTACACTTATTTACATTAAGGGATATTTCATTAACCTTACACCAATTGGTCAGAACATTTAAGTCGCTCTGTAAAATAATTGAGTCGTCATAGGATTTAATAATACGGTACATTTTTAGGTAATCTGTAAACAATAACATTTTAGAATAAGATAGGTAAAAATTGTTAGTATACAATTGGAAGAGAATTGGAGCTAAATGAGACCTCTGTGGCATACCAGAAGTAAATTGAAATACTTTAGAACAATCATTTTTATATTTAAACAAATTTGGACGCGGCCAGTGAAATAAGAATAGAACCATGATAAAAGAGGTTCACAAATTCCAAAGAACATTATTTAGTATGCAAAATATTATGGTTGCCAGTATCAAATGTTTTTGAGAAATATGTACAGATAACATCAACTTGATAGTCACTAGCCAGCTGATTAAGCATCAAATAAATCTTCAGTGAGGATTAATAGATTAGTATTAGTCGATCTAGAGATTTTAAAATCATGTTATACATTTTTAATACAGGTTTGTTACTACAAATTGTTATGATTTTTCTTGAAACAACCTTTATTGAAATTAAATTTAAAAGTTGTAAAATCTATGGCTTTTTTAAAATGTATACGATTGTAAATTGTTTTATGTTATTTCAATTGTTGTTTTGTATGTACGTAGTTATCTTTAGATAGGTAATGGTATAACAGTTATTATCTGCATAACTATTATTAACGCTATTATGTGAGCGGTTTTATTATCATCCTTTTTTTAGTCCATGCCCAACTGCATTCGACCTTGGCATTATCTGTGCAATTTTCCGGATAGAATACAACACCAATTTGGCAGTCTTG